GTTACCGACACCTGTCTGCGTGACCGATCCCTGTCTGTGTCTGCTCAGAATTTTTTGGAACGGAACCGGGTGTGAACGACCCGTGTGTGTGACCGATCCGTCTGTGTGACCGATCTGTCCGTGTGACCGTTCCGTCTGTGTGACCGAACCGTCTGTGTGACTGATCCGTCTGTGTGACCGATCAGTCTGTGTGACCGATCCGTCTGTGTGAGACACATGTCTGTGTGACCGACACCACCTGTCTGCGTGACCGATCCCTGTCTGTGTCTGCTCAGAATTTTTTGTGTGAACGACCCGTGTGTGTGACCGATCCGTCTATGTGGCGTTCCGTCTGTGTGACCGATCCGTCTGTGTGACCGACCCGTGTGTGTGACCGATCCGTCTGTGTGACCGATCCGTCTGTGTGACCGACCCGTGTGTGTGACCGATCCGTCTGTGTGAGACACATGTCTGTGTGACCGACACCACCTGTCTGCGTGATCGATCCCTGTCTATGTCTGCTCAGAATTTACGACCCGTGTGTGTGACCGATCCGTCTATGTGGCGTTCCGTCTGTGTGACCGATCCGTCTGTGTGACCAACACCTGTCTGTGTGACTGACACCTGTCTGCGTGACCGATCTCTGTCTGTGTCTACTCAAAATTTTCTGTGTGAACGACCCGTCTGTGTGACCGACTTGTCTGTGTGTCGAGTCTATGTGACCAGTCTGTGTGTCGAGTCTATGTGACCAGTCTGTGTGACCAGTCTATGTGACCAGTCTGTGTGACCAGTCTATGTGACCAGTCTGTGTGACCAGTCTATGTGACCAGTCTGTGTGACCAGTCTATGTGACCAGTCTGTGTGACCAGTCTATGTGACCAGTCTGTGTGACCAGTCTATGTGACCAGTCTATGTGACCAGTCTGTGTGACCAGTCTATGTGACCAGTCTGTGTGACCAGTCTATGTGACCAGTCTGTGTGACCAGTCTAGGACGGTGTGACGAGTCTATGTGACCAGTCTGTGTGACTAGTCTGTGTGACCAGTCTGTGTGACCAGTCTGTGTGACCAGTCTGTGTGACCAGTCTGTGTGACCAGTCTGTGTGACCAGTCTATGTGACCAGTCTATGTGACCAGTCTGTGTGACCAGTCTATGTGACCAGTCTGTGTGACCAAGTACAAAAGTTCCTTTCGTAACACACTTCAATTACGTGAACAAAGCAAAAAAAATTGCTTTTATAAAATACATACCTTCAGAATTTATGACATCTGCTTAACTTCTCTTATTTAACTTTTATTGTTCACTTTTTTTCGAATTTTCCAGGCAGACACCGAAACCAAGATGCTGTCTGATCGCCGTGGGACACGGCCGTCGCAGGATGGCCGAATGTTAGCAAATGTTTCCCGTCCTCAGCCATAATTATAAATTTACTTACTCGTAAACCTCTTATCATTAAACATTACTAGATTAAATAAATTTAACTTAATCAAAATTACTTGATTAAATAAATGCATTATTATTTGATTTATAGTATATTAAATATTTAACTACGATAAAAGTTTGTAATTACATTATAAAATAAGATTCCGATTGTAATAAATAATGTAGGTGATTTTAAACTATTTCCGTTTATGAATAATTGTAAACCGCATAACGTGGATATAAAAACAAAAGCAAGACGCCGACTAGATTCATTGTGAGTTACATAATTGCCTTAAGCAGAAACTCTGTCACTTATATATTAGAGTAAAACAATATTAAAGTTTTATTTGGAAACCGACAACCACTCTCTGTCACACAAGGCATTCCATCTTTGTCCTCACGGTGACAACGCATCTGCATTTTCATTTGTAATCGAGGATAGTTGTAGATGTCTATGGGCCGCAGCAACCACTTACCATATTAGGTGGACTGTGTGCTCGCTTGTCACCCTATCCTATAAAGAAAAAATGCAGGCAAAATTCTTTTACGATAAGTGCATGCAGAACTTTTAATTAGATTCCGAACAGTGTTGACCAATATGTTCAATATCAGTGTTACGAGTCAAAAAATTTTTTGCGAAAAAATTCTATTGTCGAGTGTTCTGTTAAATTTTGGTTTTATCTTTTACCGACTGGAATTGTTGTAACCTTTTGAGCGCCAAAGTTGCCTATACTTGACCAGCACCTGCGAGCTCTGAGCGCCAACGACGACGTCTATAGTTGACAAAAAATCCGGCCCACAAAAATATGAAATATAGATATTGGAAAGTAATTACTGGTATTTTAATTCTACACTCCTCAAAGAAGAATAACCCAGCAACATGTGAGTATAAAAAACAAGTCTCCTAGAGCCACGAGTACTAAGAAACATTGAACTAAAAAAATTGATTTTTATCTAAGCAAATACCATGTCCAGCACGCCAAAGTCGTCTATGTTTGACCGCTAGTGTTGTAATGCGTTAGGCATAGATTTATTGAAAACTATTCAAAACTAAACGCAAACGTGTTATTTTTTAAATTATTATTGATATTTGAATAAAACAAAAGGTAAGAAACATAAAACTATCATCAGCTACATAAATAAAAGAAAATTTCATCAAATCAACTTCGCATAATAAATCTAATATCTCAACTCTGGCGCATCCTTAGCGCGTCATCGATTATCAGTTCATTGGGCGCCGTGGTCAAGGATAGACGACACCCTGATGACGTCATAAACGAATAGCGGAAAAAGTAGTGCAGTGCAACATGAACGATTCATCAGAACTCATTCGCATTTTGGAAAGCGTCGATGATGACGAATTTTTTTATTTTAATAATATAAAATTACAAATAAACGTTTATTTTTTTTCTTAAGATATGACGAGAAATTTTACATTTTGTGTTTTGTGCGATTTTCTTTCTCAATATAGGGTATTGACTGAAACCTCATATTTGCTGATGACATTTCCATTATTATTCCGCATACAAAAGACTAGAATTTAAATAATAAATTGAATCATGTATTGATGATTTTTATTTCTTGTATATCCAAGTTACAAATTGGCTGAGACATCACAACCTAGAGATTAATTTTAATAAAACCAAAATTATCAAATGTTATTTAATTTGTGTGGACAACTTCGGCCCGTGCCTATCTAATTTAATTTAATTTTTTTATTCAATTATTATTTTTTACTTATTTTTATTTATAATAATAATAATTATTTTTTTACTTGACATTGTGATTATTAATTTAGTAGTATAGTAGTAGCATCAGCATCATATCAAACCCCCATTGACATGAGCGTAAGACTTCTATGCTTCACTTGCCCTACGCCTCCCCCGACACATAAAATATTTTGAGTCGATCTCTGTATATTTTGCTTAAATCGATTCCGAAATCGATACACAACGTGCGACGGCTACATCTCTAAAAAAGTTTCAAAAAGGAAGGTCAGCTACGCCGTTGTCGTCCAGTCGTGACAGTGACGTCATAACGATGAAGAGTAGTGTTGTGGTTTACTACTATTTTATTGTTATGTTTATTTTTATTTATCTACAAAGTACATATATAAAAAGAGTGGAAGACAGTACAAGATTAAATAAAACGTACCAGATTATAAAGAGTCATTTATTGCATAAAAAACCAACCAAATCAAGTTATTTTGTGTTATCGATATATCAACTCTTGGCAACACTATTTTTTCGTAAGTATTTTTGTTTACTTTTCGCTTTGGCGTACAGGACACGGTAATGCGTTTTTGGCGTGGCGCTCTAAAGGTTAAAGGTCATATTTTGTATGTGTGAAAGCTTAGTTCCCTGCATATATACATATACGAAACAGCTAAATTTGTTAAATACCACTGTCATCTCTTCACCGCTAACGAAAATACATTTAAACGAAAAATTAACCACGTGCCATTAAAAATGCCTGCGCCTAAGCTAGAACTGTTTAAAAAAAAACTGTGCTTATATGGCACCTCTAATATATAACTCTTTCCCAAAGGAATGACTGACCTGCCATATAAAAGGTTCTGTTGTGCCTTGCGAAAATGGTTAATCCAGGAGAGTTTCTATACTATTAAAGACTTTTTGAATAATAGCACTTGCCGATTTGGTGCCCACTAAGATATCAGATCTTTCTTTTTATTTCTTGTATCTTAGTCTATTATAATAATTCAATAATTTATATAATTGTAATCATGTAATTCAAATAACTGAATTTTAAAAGATTGTTATAATTGCAATTAAAATATTTCTTATGAATTGTTATTCAAATAGTTCTAATAATTGTAATTTTATTCAAATAATTGTTGTAAATTTACTATGATTTTGCATGCCCGTAATGAGGGTGAAATATGTCCTGTGCTATAAGTTACTTTAACATCTTGTGTACCAACCATATTTCTTGCAAATAAATTATTTATGATTATGATTATGATTAAATGGCCTATGTACCTAGTTATGCATTTGTTTACTGTTAAACTTGTAAAATCTGCAAAAAGTGAGAGTGAAAAGCGAGCTACCTTATGGTAAGTGGATAGTGTGGACCATAAAGATCCTATAAAGGATAAAATAAACAACGTGATTAAATATAATTTATTTAGCAATAACAAGTACATACATACTTTGTATACTTTAAAATCAAACAAGCTTTAAAATCAGTATTTCATATTTGATCATAGGTACAAAGTTTCTTTAAAATCACCGATTAAAGGTTTTTAAAAGCCTCATTAAAACTTTTAAAATGTTAATATAACAATCACTACCTTGCAGCCATCTTAAAATTGATTAAAATCTTACATATCACATGTATCTTAAACGCTACAAGAATGTTATACAATTCTTAATTTAAAACTGAAAAAATAATCTTAAAAAACAATAAATAATCAAATTCATATCTGATATTAACTATAATTTAATTGGCACATCATTTTGATTATCAGGTTAATTCACCCAGATCTAAAATAATACATTTTTTCATTAGATAACGATAAACAATCAAAAAAAAATAAGGCAGCGTAAAAGTAGTCTCGAGGAACAGGACAACGGATCAATATCAACGTAAGACCCAGGGTTCAGCGGCCACCTCGCCGGCGGTACTTGATTCTAGTTCGCTGGTGCCGCTTGATCCCGACGAAGGAGTTCCTACAACAAATCGTATATATATATATATATATATATATATATATAGGCTTTGCACAGAGTACCCAGTCCTGCACTTGCTGGTGTTAGATTTGGTTTACGGATTAGAGTATGTGAAACGGGCAGGATTCCCTTTTAAGAGGTAGTACCATAGCAAGGCGGTATACAACAGTGGGCTTTTATTTGCTGTGATAGATATGAATGGAAATCGTGAAACGATCAGATGGACGTTGGGATGCAAAAATTTCAATAAGATGGCGCTAATAAAGAGGCGTAGAGCATCTTACCAAAAGACTGGTGACGAATAAAAATACACTGTGTGTACAAGGCAAAGTCAGCATCTTATTTCTTCTCGATGTAATGAATTATAGAAAAGATTAGAAAGTAGTTATCGTAGCTTCCGGTCAATGATGGTATAAAATGCCCATATACTGGAGTTTAGTAATCTTAAATATGACCACAAAACCTACAGTCAGGTGTGGATGAAATCTTTTCTCAAAAGGTTGGAGATATGTTCAGTAGCAAAAGTTGTGGACTCATAAACAAATGTAAATTTTAAAATCCTTTAAAAGTAATGTTCGTAGGTCATTTTGTTGTGTTGGTCACCTTTGAGGATCAAGATGGAATGCCTTACAGCGATTTATACTGGCTCTCTATCGAAACACATAAGGTGGCGTAAGGTGAAAAGTATTGCCATTTGATAAAAAATAGGTAAGAGGACCGCTACCTACGCAGAACTTTTTTGGACAGAAAAGGGGCAGGACCCAGCTATACCTGTGAGCAGAAAACCAACTCACTTTGTTTTCCGCTGCAGTTGCTGCATAGCGGCAGAAATAAGTAAGAGGTTGGTTGACCTGCACTTGGGACGGATCCAGACAAAAGCAGTTTTATCGCTTATATTCTGAAAACTAACTCACCTTCACTGGGTCTGCCATTGCCATTGCTGCCGCCGTTGTAGCAAGCTGGGTCCGACGAGTGGCGGCGCTGCGAGCGCTCCGAGCGCTCCGAGCGCTGCCCGGAGGGAGTGCGGGGGGAGTGGCGTGGAGCGGCGGGGGCGGGGGCGGGCGGCGAGTGGCGCTGCGTGGAAGGCGGGCCGCCGGCCGCGCTCTTTGAGTTGCGCATCAGCTGCTTGTGGCTCACGCTGCGGTGCTGCCACGCCCAGCACGACCGACAGAAGTATCTGCAACGTCACATTTTGTTAACATGCGCCGTATTACCAGGCGAAGGGTACGCAACCTCCCACTTAACAGAGAACTTAGTTGTACATTAAACCATTGCGAATGAAAATATTGAAGATCGCTGTGGAGTCGATATAAAGTGCACTAATAAAGACATCTTAATTATATAAATGTAACCAAGGATACGTACCTGAAGCATACCGGCTCACGACAGAAGTAAGGACCCTGCTGCAAATTGCATAGCGAGCACATCGAGTCCTCAAGATACGGATCTATTTGAATCTGTAAAGAAATTATTACTTTGTTACTACGCTGTTAAAGACTCGTTTTACGTGGTAGAGCCACGCTGCAGCTATATTAGTAGTGTAGTTATAGCACGAATGGGTCGGCTCGACCAGGGAAGGAGCACGCTCTCACAGAATACCAGCGTCAAATAGTAGGTTAATGCTGCTGTGTTTCGTATGGTGAGTAGAAAACCGGAGACCCTTTTTACTAGAAACGAGGCATTCCATCCAAGTCCTCGAGGATGACAACGCATCTGCATTTTGATTCCTAACCGAGGATAGATGTAGACGTTTATGGGCCACAGCAACCACTTACCATCAGGTGGACTGTGTGCTCGTTTGTCATCCTATCCTAAAATAAAAAGACTCAATATCCAGTCCTCCATTAGATGCCCGATTTGATGATGTCTGCACACGCAAGAACTATTCAACTCCTTCCTTTCTTTTCCACTATCTGACAACCAGACTTAAAACTCAGTAGGAACTTTTTTCTAGATATTCCATATAATCAACGAAGTAAACTAAGAGAAATAAAAAATTGGCCCGTCTATCTTTTCACCCAATCACAATACAGGCATCTTGAAGGCAAGAGTGAATAGACTTGTTACGACTAATATAGAATAATTGATATAGAAATATAATAAAAATCGACTAATATAGAATAATTTTATAGAATAATTGTGAGAAACAACTCGCCATACGAAAAACACAGCAGCCTGGGCTGCTGTTTCACGCACGTATTCCTCTGTAACTCGGTCGAGCCAACCCATTTGTACGACGTTATAAGATCTACGGTTTATTACCACTTACCACCACATGGAATTGTAATTACAACACTAGCTTATGATTAAAAAAGGTAGGTTTATTCGGTTTGAAGTTGACCGCAAGTATCCAAAAACTGCTGTTACAACTCGCGGAATGTAAGTCTAGCGCGGAAGGAAACGTGGAAGGGATAGCTGTGTATCATTACGCCAATAGCCACAGCCCTCCCTACGCAAGTAGCAGTAGTCAATTACACGCCTGAACCGCGACCCGCTTGCTACCACCATGATACCTTATTTACGACTTATGCGCAATAACGGTCACCTCTAGACTTTCGTGCCGCTACTTAAAGTGCCATTTAAAATTTCAGACAAACCAATGAAAACTATTATACTACAGATACAGAGTCAGATTCGCACACACACGTGTTCACTTCTATAAATGTCGGTTATATTACATGTTTTATATATAGTGGTGTAAAACCATCGCTCTATTTCGTCCTGTGAGAAATATCAAAAAAAATCTTCCAACAGATTGCGGTATAAACATCTCGTTTAAACTAGATTTATACGAAACATATGGTACAGATATTGAAAGGCGTTGAAGATTGTTAAAATTCTCTTTACAAGAGGAATTTCTTCAACTCCTGAGACATCAATTGATTAAAATAAAAATATTTATTTTAATCTTATTATTTTATAAAATTAGATTTATTCTACCTTTTTACTGAAACTTTTTGTTACTTGAATAGACGTTTTAATATTTGCATGTGGTAATGAAATACTATTTTATATTGTATACCAAATGGTGGATCGCAGCGCGACTGAATATTTTCCTTGTAACACTAACCTGTCGATCACAAAATTGATCAGATTTGATTTGACAGGATCATTTGTCCAACCATGGGTTTTTAACGGCTCAAAGATATTTAGCTGAAAACTAACGCCGATTCATACTTATCAACTTCTACAAACCGTTTTTGTAAACTTGTCGGTACATATCTCGACGTACGCCGCGGAGACGGCCGTCATGTACGAGTGCAGGTTGTTGAATGTCACGCGACCGGAGCCTATCGGGTATTTATTCTTGTCGGTGTCGATGCCTGTGAAGAAAAACCATGGTTATTGTAGTAATTTTTTACACTTTCGAGTGGACCTAAGAATACAAACCATCTAAATAAAGTATAAATTGTTATTTTTAGAAATTCATTTGCCATTCTTATTTAATTTTTTCTTAAGTTAAACATTGTCTGTATTAAAAAAAAAATCAAAATCAATAAACATTTGATAAAGATATCCGTAACATAAATACAAAAGCTATGGTAACATAATCGTGATAGCTGAAGAGCCGCTATCAATTTCTCAGTACGCGTGCTACGTTTGTTGGATCCCTGTAGATACCAATGAAATTACTAATTAAAGTAATCATTTATTATGTGCTCAACTGTGATTGAAAACACGGAGGAAATCTGCATGTCTGAGAAATTAAAAATTAATTCAAATACATGATGTCCAGTAACATGTATTGAGATAGTGTACTTTGCCACTTTACTATGTAGTGAAACGTGTATACGCTGTAATTTTGATGTAAGTATTTTATATAATATATATGTAATTTTTATATTTATGAAGCCTACTGATATTGTGTAGTGGTGTCTTAAGAGGATACATGAGGACACAAATGAAGTGGCCAGCAGAATTTTTACAATAAAGACTGAAAATAAAAACTGCGGCTGCCAACCGCTTGCCAGTCGTGGCAATTATTGCAAATTGTCTATTATGAGGCAATCTATGGGGGAAACCTATGTTCAACAGTGGACTGTAGTAGGCTAAAGTGAAAACTTGCGATGTTTTAAGTACCTGCGTAGACGACGCCGTCGAAGAGGTCGTTCATGATGAGCGCGAGCCCGAAGGCGCTGAGCATGCCGTGCAGCGCGCCCACGAACACCGTGCGCGCCGGCTCCAGCCGCGACGCCGCCCGCGCCCAGCACGCGTCGCCCAGCGCCCACGGGATCACCTGCACCTGCACGCGCGCGCGCCTGAGCCCATCCGTCTAGGCAGCCACGCTGCAGCAACAATGCTGCAGGCGAGGCTCGGCCGACAGACAATACCCCGATGTAATACCAGGGGCAAAACAAAGAGGGCCATACAAAATAGCTAAAACTAAACATTTTAATAAAACCGATTTCAATATAATTAAAATGAGAACTGAGTCAATTAAATATGCATTGTTAAAGGCAACTCAAAAACTACTGGTCGGATCTCGATTAAATTTATATGGGACCAAACTTAAAAGTTCCAGCTCCAAGATCTTCAAATTCGGTTCACCCAGATAAAAGTTCTGAGAAACAAAAAACACAGTCGAATCTTCCTTTTTGAAGTTTGTAACAAAATAGCAACAGTCTGGAATTTTACGCTAGTATTGTAACTTTCTAAAAGCGTAGTCCTTTGAAAAAGCCGACCTATTCGTGCTACAACTATAATACAGTTGTAGCATGGCTCTACCACGTACTAAATCGACATATGCCCAGATACCAGCTGGAAAAAGAAAGGTAATTATTACTCTAATATAACATATAATAGCCTAAGCCGTCGCGGTGTATGCAACGCCCTCCTATTTTCCAGCGTCATCCACTAGTGTTGCAAATTTCGATTTATGTCAGACATCAGCCAGAATAACTAAGAAAACGACGGACACGCAGAGTGTAACTTGTTTAGCGCATTTAAGTATCAGCTATGTATCCTAATTATGCTGCAAAAAATGAGCTATATATACTGAGAACATCAAACTTTAGGCTGAAAAATTAACCTCATCAGGAAGGGTATGAAACTTGTTAAGTAGGCATTCACGAGTCGAGACTACTTAAATCATAAATATTTATTTGAATAATGCATTTTAGTGTTAGATATGTACCAGGATTATAGTGAGAAATGATCTTCACTGTAACGGACTCGTTCGGTGCATTTTAAGTGTCAGACGTATTTAATTAAGCTGAAAAATGAACCTTATCACTAAGTATACAAGTTACCTCCTTGGTGCGCATGTTGTGGAATGGTGTACAGTCTAACGGAGCTGAAATGAACTTAGATAAGTTACCTCCTTGGTGCGCATGTTGTGCGAGGCGATGCGGTAGTACCAGTCATAACGGTCGCGGCGCGCGGCGGCCAGCAGCGCGCGCACGCGGCGCTCGCTCTCGAACGTCACGTACGCGAAGCCGCGCGGCGCGCTGCCCTCCCCCGCGCCACCCCCCTCGCGCCCCGGCCACTCCACACTGCATTACATAATATTAACATTACACTCAATACAAAATGAAACACTTGTCAAACTCAAACTCCTTCGCTGGGATCGAGGAGACTTGACTCACCCAATCCCAACCCGGCCACTCACGCTCCCCAGCGCAACAACATTAACAATCGATACAAGAAATGGTAAAATTAAACATTTTGTACAACAGACTTCAATATAACTAAAAATGAGAATACATACCATCATCGATGTAGTTAAAGTGAATTAAATAGTCATTATTAAGGATAAAAAATAAACTCATTGGTTAAACTTAAGTATAGATATCAAAAGTCCTCCAGGCCGAATTTCGGCCACGGCGGCCTGCCTTAACGGAGGATAGCCACCGGCGCAGGACAGGATTATAGTGCCCAAGTGTATGCGCAAGCACACGTGCACTATTCCCTCACTCTCATAATCCGACGGGACGGTAAACCGACACGACCGGAGAGAGATCAGGCGCAGGACCAACGGCTTTACGTGCTTTCCGAGGCACGGGGGTGATTGTTTTTTTGGCCCGACCCGGTCCTGGGTTAAGTATAGATATAACAGTGTTAACGGTGTAAAAAGATAGATTGATAAGCCTATTGCCATAGTGAGCACGCTTGTGAGACAAGCCTGGTTACTATGGCAAATAGTCCACCCTACATGACAATCTATATGGGGGAAGTCCTTGTTCAGCAGTTTAGACTTTGTTTACAATGAACCAATGGATAAATGAAAACTGATAAAAGTTAAGTATCTATTTAATACCAGTTATCTTCGATTAAAACTCAACAGAAGAGTTCTCTAAAGAATGGCTCTATCACATGAAAAAATGATATGCTATAATTTCAAATAAATAACAAGGGTGTCTGAAAATTTATATAAGCTCACCGAATCGGATAGAAGTGGCGGAGCGAGTGCATGAGTGCTTCCTCGGTGATGTCCCAGGGCAGGCCGCCCAGGAAGACCTTGGGGGAGAAGGCGGCCGTGGCCTCTGCGCCAGGTGGCGGCCCGCGCGCCGGCAGCACGCCGCACCAGCGCATCGTCCGGTCATCCGCACCACGCTGCACCACCCCGCCTGCACACGCAACCATCATTGCTCATGTATCCCGCACATTTACTCCCAGTTATTATAAACCAATAGGCCCTCTTACTTAGGGCATCGCAGCAGAGGAAATCAAAATAGATAATATCTCGCTATTATACAAATACAATAAATGCATTTATATTTGATTTAAAACAAAATGAAAAAATCATAAGACTTTTTCAATAAAGGGTGAATCAAAGGATATAAAAATTGCTTTCATTTCCAATAGGTAAATACGAGGAATATTTACATAAATATTTATTCATTTGTTTGTAATTATGTTCTCGAAAAAGGCTCTACGATTTCGATTAAAAGTATAAGAGCTAATCCGGAGGCGAAAAATCTATCTAGTCTGGTCTCATTTTTAGGAAAAATAGTTTTCTTATTTCAAGCACAAATTGTATTGTACTGTAACGCAAAAAAACCTGACTCACACACAAGTGTTAGCACGCCGAAGTATTCGAGTTCGAAAAACTGAGATTTTTTGTTTTATTTTTTGTTATTTTAGCATAGTAGACTACATAAGGCTTGTAAAAACAGATTACTATAGACTTATAAAAATTTATGTCCACACTCTATTTTTAGTAGCGATATATATACAAGATAAATAACATTTTTATAGCTTTGGTTACGGTTTTATAACATGAATGTAATTGGTTTCTCGGAAACCAGCTTTGAACGATTAGGATAAAATTCAGTACTAAAAGTTTCTTCAAGAAAGGTTTACATTATTTTTTTCTAACTCCGAGTGCCTACTAAAACGGCTTTAGGTTCTAAAAAGGTTTTGCACATTTTATACGGACGTTTGAAAATGTTAACGGTCATTTTGGCACGCTAGGCTGGCCTGTATTTTTATTTTTAGTATTTTACATCATAGTGCGTTGGCACTTGATGTCGCAAGATAGAGCCTTGTTGGCAATAAACGTTGGCAGTGAACGTCGCCGGTTCTAGTCATACCTTACGAAATATAACAGCTTATGCTGCTATTTTACGCTGGTATTATCTATACGGTCGAATCGATCCATTTGAGTAACAGCTATAATATAATGCGCCTGACTACCATATACAAGTGGCAAAATATCAAATTCAATTATAAACAAAGTAGTTTGACTGTACTTACAAAAGAAAGCTCCACGAGGTAGCTTGTTGTTGGCGTCATGAGAGGTGGAAGCTTGTTCCGGCGACCATGGCTCCACCTGGAAATTTGAAGTTAGCATCAAAGTTAACTTCAAAATTTAAATGCCTATTTTCCTGTATATGAAAACACCGAGTGGAAACGCTTTAACTCTTACGGAATAAAAATATTGAAATTAAAAACATTTCTACTTGTGAAAATTTTCCTTGTCATTTTACATTGTACGTAAGTCGTAGCAATTTCTCGCCGTATTAGAAGTAGAGCTTATAAACAGTCAATGAATAGTTGAAGAAATACTGATCAAGTTCTGTGTTTTGCGCATGTCACTTGTAGCGACAACTTTACTACGCTCCTAGTTTAGAGCTATGCTTAAAGTTTCAAATCCCTAGCTCTTCGGGAAATCAAGGTTAAATCTATTGCAAAATCTGTATAAAAAAAAACTGAAAAGAAAGAGATATGCATTATCGAGTTCAGAGCTATATCCCAGAGTTTCAAGTCAAACTCAAGAGGTAGTAAAGTTTAAAATCGAATGTAAATATTGTACCGAACAAACTGAACAAAGAGTAAGTGAAAAACGAACTTGGGGGCCAAGTGAACTGATACTAAATAGCTACTGCAGTCAAACGTCACCTCTGGTGACTAAGAAGGAATACCTCACATCCTGTTATTTACTGGTTCTTCTATACGGCTCTGGCAGGTACCACTTACGACCTGTATGTCTACTTGGTACGAATAGTTACCAAGTCAAGCGTGGTGTTAAGGTTTAACCTTCGCGACCGACCATTGTAGAAAATTATTAAAACGTGGCATAGGCAAAGGCAACAGTAAAATCTTTTTTTAAAACTAAGGCAGGGCGGTTAAGCGGCTATCGCCACCAGACACCCTCCTACTCTATAGTCTAGATTTCTAGACCATCAACCAGTTTGTCAGTCTCTCTACTGAGAGAAAATAACAATGGTAGCTCTCACACAGTACGCGAACAACCCGGGTTCGTTCCCCGCTGGCACCAATGAAATTGTCAATTGCAATTTAAGTGCAGATTTACCACATGCTCGGCGGTGAAGGAAAACATCGTAAAGAAACCTGCAGACCTGAGAAATAAAAATATTTCGAAGACATGTCAAGATCGCCAACACGTATTGGGGCAGCGCGGCGGACGATTCCATGCCCCGAAAAACCCTCACAGAAATGAAGGAAGGCCCGAGCTCAGTAGTGGGACGTATATAGGCGGTAACTATATCAGAAAATTAAAAAAAATTCCGCGTTAGAAGCGAAAGCTTAGCGTCACATTATTTTTGGGTTATTAACAAAATTTTCAGGAAGTGTTTTTTATTAGAAATTATTTTTATCAACGTATTAATAATATAGTAATAAAATTTTCATTTATTGCAAGTTTTATATGAAAAATAATGATTAGTATATATATAATACATATGAATTTTATAAAATTGAATTGTATTAAAGAAGTTTTTACACTTCAAAAAGCTTATATGAAGAATAGAATAGTAGCTTTTAGTCTAACATAAAAAAGTACGACCCGTGATAGCTTAGCTTCATAATACGAGAGCAGATTTTGTGTAAAAAAACACAACTCACCATTTTATCTGCGCTTTCGTAGCTATGGCGCTCTGTACTCGTATACAGGCTACCACTGGTGGAAGGAGGCGGCGCCATCACAAGACTCTTCTGGAACGATGTTTTCCAAGTTAATATTAACTTATCATTGATTATTGAAATTAAATTAAGCCCCTTTCAATAAATAAGAAAATTGGGAACTGTACTCACCAAAGAGGCCACAAGGTCGGTCATCTGTCCGGACGTGTCGTCCCCCAAACTCCCGGGGCGAGCACTCTCGCTGCAATTACAAATTAAACTTTAAAACTTACTAATTAACGTTGTTAGGGTACACGCATTGTTACTCAACACTTAATTCCGTGTTTAACCCCAAGCCTCTCCAAAACACGTAAAACGACGAAGACACTATTAGAATTACCGTTGCGCATTATACTATGATAGCCGTGGAGGCTCAGATTGTTAACGCTCGCTGTAAATATAACAGTACGCGAGTAACCCATGTTCGATCCCCGCCGGCACCAATGAAATTGTTAATTGCAATTTTGAGTGCCGATTTACCACGTGCTCGGTGGTGAAGGAAAACATTGTGGAAAAAGAAAAAAAAATTCGAAGACACGGTAAACTTCGCCAACACGCATTCGGGCAGCGCGGCGGACACTTCCGTGCCCTAAAACACTCAGAAATTAAGGGTGGCCTGGGCCCAGCAGTGGGACGTATATAGGCTGTAACTTTACTTTTAACTTTTACTTTATACGACCACCCCTGATGTATATCCCATTTAATAAAAAATATTAATTAAAACCCGTTTTAATCGAAAATATACCTAGAGTAACAAATACAAAAAACACGTAGTCTAATTAAAGATCACTTTTTTAAAGTGATAGAGTAATTGCTTGACCTGATCCGTTGTGCAGGTACAATTGCTACATAACATTAGATTTTGACGTGGGTCTTGTCATAAGGGATTCTTAAAGAAAGTTTTCGTGTATGAAGCGTTAAATATACAAAAGTAGTAGGAACTCGGTAGTTTTGCGATCGAAAAAAAAGAAAAAACGCTAATGGTGTATTACAGCAGAAGTCTGAGCAGTTCGACAGTTTATCACTCCGAATCTTAGCAGTTTACTTACTAATTACAATTATTTTAGTAAAAATACCTAACCAGCAACAGTTTTAAGACAAGTTAACCAAGTATTTAAGTTTTGAAACGCCACGGCGGCAGTTTTGGCGACTTGGGTCTATAAATAGAAGATAAAATCGATAACATTCCAATGAGAATTGACATAAATGGAACACCATTTATAATTATACTGCTGAAGGGGTGACCATTTCTAATTTAAAACGGGAATTATCCGCTGAGGATGTAACAAAATGCGCATTAAAACTGGTAATCATTTATCAAATAGCAGTTTTGGCACTTAAATGGAAAGTCTAGCCAAGTTGAACAAATATTTAAGTGCAAAAGATAGATATTTGAAATGTTAAGTTATTTAATTACGTAATAATTTTCAGACTTCAAAAGGGTGGGAGGTTCTCAATACGTGCATGTTAAGTGTTTTTGTAAGTAACTTAAACAGTTTTGAACGATTCTAACCATTTAGACTACGACATTCTTGATATTTTTAGGTTACTCAGAATACTCAAAAAGACAAAAATAAAAGCAAAGAAACCTTAAGAACTAGCAAGTGGTAAAATTAAAAATTTTGTACAACCGAACTCAATATAAGTAAGATTGATATCATCAATGTATGACAGTGAACTAAATACGCATTATTAAGGATAACTCAAAAACTACTGAGAAGCACCAGCTTTCAAATAAAAAAGATTCATTAAAATCGGTTCACATAGAAAAAAAGTTCCGAGGTAACAAAAAAAAAATAGTCTATTTGAAACCCTTGTTAGAAGTTTGTAGATATAAAATAATTTCCACGTAACAACTTTAGGCTTTAATTCTATACAGTTTTAGCACAGACTTCTGAAGCCAATGTTGTGTAAAAAATTTTTTTAGTTCTTTCCATTCAACTTTGACTGATGTTTTTTCCGTAAATAGTCAAACTGTTTAATGTTGCTGAGAGTCTCAGCTCGGGGGCTAAGTAGCTCGCCGTTAATGTTTCAGTTTGCATGTAGTTTGAGTCAAATTTTGAATTGAAATTTTAATTCCTTCATTACCACTTGCTCAGCGGTGAAGCAGAGCATTGTGGGAAAATCTGCAAGTCTAAAAATTTTATATTGTGGGACTTCATTTCGTCAAGCAACCCCCGTTACCCAGTGTTGCCATATATTGGAATTTAAATCTTTCGGAATTGTTACACTTAATACTTTGAATAGGAGTTTTTACATTCAATTAAAAATATTTAAAAACATTCGATGAAGTAACGTAGTTTTAACATTGTTTCACACGGTTGTTACATAGAGAACGAAATTTTTGAAAATAATTCCATAATTATTTTTTTCAAAATTATTTATTTACATTGCGTTGACATGTCCAATAAGGCTTACCTGTAACTAGCGAACGTGGCGGGATGCCTGGGCGGAAAGCATGTTGATGGTACAAGGGAATGCGGAGTCTGGGCTGCCTCGGGGCTACCGGGCGCCTCCCATTCTTCCCAGCGCCAGTCGCGTTCAGCAGAAGTGCTGCCACCAACCTCCTGCAACAATGAGGATTTTAGTCTCATTACATCAATGTCAATTGTTTTACTGCTTCTCACCAACTAATAGAACAAGCGAACGAAGCCCCGTAGCGCGTGATATTAAGAAACTGAGGTACCTATATGCAGGTACAATCTTAGTGTGTTTGACAAATAATTGTTGCGTAACATATGAAATCAGAAACATAATTCAAAAAAAAAACGTGACAAATAAATTACCACGGGAGGTAGGGAACTATTTCAGTCTCACTTTAATGGAATTCATAATCTATATTGGCGCCCAACGTGTAGCTCCATCACTTATTAGTCTCGAAATCGAAGTAACTAGTTTTTAAAAGTTTATTCGCGATTCGTGCTACAGGACGACTACAGGCAATCCACCCAGAATAATCCCAGGTTCAGCTGGGAATATAAAAAGGCCGTGAAGTACAAAAAAAAGGGAACACTTATGATGCGCTCTCACACATAGAAAACTTAGGCATATACTTTTAGATTTCTATCCAATATAAAAATGAACGATCCCTACAAACAAAAATGCTATGTTTTTACGAAACTCAACCTTATGGTAAGTGATGGTACCATAAACACAGGAGGCAAACTAGAAACAAAAGCTAAACAAAAGCAGATGCGTAGTCACGTGGTCAGAGAACTAAGATCGAATGCCTCACGGCCTTTAAATGGCAGTGTAAGCAGGGCTATTTAACAGCAAGAATACGTAAGGAAATTAGTGTAAACAAAGCGCCGTTAAGTAGAGTATAATATTGCCAAAAAGTCAAGTTCACTGCTGAACATCTCAAGGAATGCCTCAAAACTATTTCATCACTTGCATCCATCGACTTTTAAGTCTTACTAGGCCATCACTCCATTTAGTGGAGGCAGGGCTACATTTCACTTAAGTCACGAAATGTAGAGTTCATTTAAACACAATAAGACCTAAAAGCATTTAAATCCTATGTATTTATTATTATGTGAAAAATGTATTTGAAATCTAAAATCTTCAGAATAAATTTCTGAACATAAGTTATACTTTAGGAATTCGCAGAATCGCAGATTAGATTTTCCATCATGAATCGTCTACGCTACTATAAAGAATTTAATTGCGTGATAAAATTTTAAGCAATTTATGATTAAATTTTAAAAATTGTTTTGTGACGAGCCCTTCGCAAAGAAAATTAAAACTCAATGGGCGTGACATCGCAACAATTACACATATCGAGACAAGTTTTCCGGGTCGCAGCGCCCCGGCCGATTAGGCTGTGAGCGCCTTGGCGTGGGCTTACCCAAATATTAAATTGCTAGTACCATGCCAATAACTAGCGATACTGCCAAACACGGGTTCACGAACTTTGTTAATCACATGGGATATGTTCTAGAAGTACCCAATTTTAATGTTACGTTTTCTATTAAAACAAATAGTTCGATAATTGTGTGCAAAATCGCCTTCGAATGTTACATTTTGTGATCACAATACGTATGAAAGATCCACAATCACAAGCTTAAACAATATGCTCACTAATTTAGGGTAACCGGATGTTAAAAATACAAAAAGAGTGAGCACAGTCTACCGTAAGTGGATGCTGACACGCAAAGATACCTACATTTCTTTGATCAGGAAATGCAGATGCATTACCACCCCCGAGTACTAAGATAGATCCTAGTTTCCAGTAAAATATATAATGGAGTATGGCTCTACTACGTATAAATAATAGATAAAGTTTTAAGAGAATAGTAATAGTTCATTTTAAATTTTCGACAGGGCTAATTTAAATTTTCTATTCTAATTCACAACAGATTTTTCATCGCGTGGTGGCGGTGTAAGAATATCTACTCTACAACATACTACTCTACATTTCATCCCGTGTGCGTTTTAAGAGGCAACAGAGGGAAACGTATCAGGAGTTGGATGTTGGGGGATGCATCTAGCTAATAACGATAAAATAAAAAGACTGCTTTTGCCAACCCAATTGCCAAGCGTGGCAACTATGGCAAAAATATGCCCTATCTAATCTATGGAGCAGGCTTATGTTCAGCAGAGGACTTTAATAGGCTGGAACAGTAATGACCAATTGATTTAATAAAATAAAAATGTAAAATTGTTTTCAGCAATAATTTGCTACGGAACTCTTTCTTATTGCTGATACTTTTATGGGCTTTTCAGTAATTATCCAAGTATGCATTACAAAGTTAATTGGCAAATTATATACTGCGTTCTACAGCAATAGAGCCGGGTATTTACAGAGACCAAATTTTGTTCATGTTAGACTAAGTACATTAAGAAAATTGTTAATGGCGACGTAGGGTTTCAGCTTACTCGGTAGATAAAGTAAATTGTTATTAATAATTATGTTTATTAATACTTACGTTTTAACAACTTAGTTTCACCTAGATTGAGAATTTAAAAATTACGTCTTATCTACGAGCCATAAGCTCGCGGTAGATTACCGCGGATTTACTCGCGGCGTTTAGTTTTTTTGAAAGGATGTAAAATTTTATATAACGCTAATAAGTTTTGAGATGATCCACAAACGAGCTTTACCGGCGAGCCACCAACTCCACGGTAAAGCTCGCTCATCGATCAGGACCTTCATTGTTAACAACTTGGGTTGGGTAACTATCCGACGGGCTAGAACTGATCGTTTGCTTCTATGAGATTCAAGGCCGAACAACTTACTTAAACGACAAAAACTTTTTATATATTTATGCGGGTAGTTAAGTAGCAACTAAATGTATTTTTAAAAGTACTTTGAAGAATTATAGCTTTATCGGGTATAAAAAATTAAGATAATAAAAGATAAGATGCAATTTTCAATGTCTATTCTCTAGACGATATTAAAATTCTAAACGAACGTACAAATGCATTAAAGACACGAACATAAGATAAATTGTTAAGGGACCGTTCCGAATTTCATACAAGCTAATCCAACTACAAGCAACCCGTCGCGGGCAGTCGGCATTATTTGGCACAAGACTGCCATTAATAGGAAAGCTGGCAGCCGTGTGGCCCGAACATTAAATGTGCATCAAAACGGATGTCGTATGAGGCACTATGAACAAACAATAAAGCAGTCAATTGCTTGGTACCCAAATATTGTCTCCATTCCAAGTATTGAAAATTTAAACAGCAAGGATATACGTAATATATTATTAAGTTTTAGCAAGGATAGAAGGGAAAATATTAAGTTTTTGTGATTTCGCTAGCTGAACTAAACTCAAAAGCACGTGTAGAAAATTGGACGCCATAATTGGCGCCCAACGTTACGCGTACGTTCTTAAAAGACTGATATTTTTTAAATATTGCAAAACTAATACAACATTGAATTTGTTGCTCACTAATAACTGTATTTATGCAAAATGTTTAAATAGTGTAATATCTTTGAAATAAAACCGCAACAAATAAAAAGTAGACTTAAATTTCTCCGTGGGTAGATATGAAAGTACTTACATTAGGACGCTGATGTTCTTGTTTAGGTGCGGCGGCAGGCTCTGAGTACTGAGAGGAGTCTAAACCAATAAATTCTGTCAATGAGCGGCGGTTCTCTCTCGAGTCCCCGCCATCGCGGCTACTGTCCTGTCAAAAAAAAACAATAATATGAAACGCAAGAAAATACTACCCTATTCGAAAACATTATTTAAAACGCAACGCACTGAAAATACAACCCTGTTGATAAACATTTACTTCAGAACCAGATAGAGCTATATCGGGAGATTTATTGTAAAACTTTCTGGTGGTGAGTCCGATAGTTTTTGGCAAACGTTATCAAGTTACACTTAAATCTAAAGCTTATTTAAAATTTAAAATATTTAAAGGCCACCGGCAAAAGGCGTAGATTATGTAGACATTTTCAGTTAAAAAGTAGAGTTTAGCCAAGATTACACAAATACTTAGAAAGCGTTAAAAGATATAGGAGAATAGAGAATAGTTTAATACAAGTGGTAAATTGTAAAACATTTTTCTATTGTAAAAATGTTTAATTTAAATAAAATCAGAACATCACCGAATGTAGTCCAAGTCAATTAATTATTAAATTTATATGGAACCTTCTTTCAAATATAAGAATAAAAAAAATCGGTCTACCAAGAACACAGTTTAGAGGTTACGCACACTTAAAACATATTAGTTCAAAAGATACTTGCTTGATGTAGAAGCGGCATATGTTCCGCAGATTCTTCTAAAGTTCGTCGAAACACTTTGTCTGGCTACTTGAGCAGAGTTTCGTCCCGATCACTAGTCGTCACACTTCGGCGACTCAACACCGACTGACGAATGCAGCGCGCGCAGAGACGGACGAAGCCATCTCCGCCCCTCCATACTCCCACCACATCCTTGGGCGACGGTAGTCACGCCCACTTCAAATTATTTTCAAATTTTGAGTTTTGCCTATTTTTGTTAATTAAAAATTATTTTTTAATTAATATTTACTAAAAACATAATTATTAACAAATATTAAGTATTTTTTTCAATAGGTGTGATGGCATATTTGTAAATTTCCGGTTCAATACTTGGCGCATGCGTTCAAAAGTTAAAGTTCGAATTCAAAGTTTTTCTTTTGTGAATGCGAACTTTATGTTATTTTTTTACGATTTAGGGTTTATAATAATCAATCTACGCTCTCCCAATTTGAGATTTGTCTAGTTAATTTGTTTTAAACAAAGAAGGAAATAGTCAAACGAGATATTATTTTTATTTTATTAATAAAATGATTTTAGGACAAGCAACTTCCGTTAATATTTACATGAGTTTTCTTCCTTGCACAACTTCCTTGTGGAATCGACTACCACCAAAGATTTTTCCGGATCGATACCACTTAGGGACCTTCAAGAAAAGAGCCTACTCCTTTTTAAAAGACCGGCAACGTATCTGCAATTTCCTTAGTGTTGCAATTGTTCATGGGCAGCGGTTTTCACTTACCATCAGATGAGCCTTGCTCTTTTGCCCCCACTCCTATTAAAAAAAACATGTTTATCTATGTTTCAAATAATTAAAAAGAGAACGATTTAATTAGCGGTGTTTGAAAAAGTACTTTAATACCTAATAAATTAAAAAAATATAACATTTTAACGCCTTTTATTAGCTTGACAAGTATGTACATATTTTTAATTCAGTTTTCTACCACCTTCGGCATCTGAAATATTAAAGAATATTAAGAACTTATGACAGTAAATAATTTCATGACTACTTAGTATCTAGAGTCATTACGCTAGGTTCAGTTCCGCCGCACTAGGCGGAACTGCACCGCAGCGGAACTGAGCGACACGAGTTGGTCAGTTGATCAACTTTGCCGCGCAGTTCTGCTGCAGTGTAGTACTGTTGCCGCTTGTGTGTTGTCACATATAATTTCAAATAAAGAAGGTGCGTCGTGTCCCTCAGTTCCGCTTTGGTGTAGTTCCGCATAGTGCGGTCCTATCTTTAGTCAACATAGCTCATGATCAATGCCTGATTTGTTTTATTTCAACTTTAATTTGAATATCAAACATTCGAAAACAAAAATGGCATAAAACGAAATATCAATTTACAAAAGCATATTTAATATTTTTAGGGTGTAATATTTATTAATGGGGCTTATTTTTGTATATATAATGCTGTGATCTCAATACATCAAATGATGCCTACAACGACGCACTAATCAAACCAAGTCTTTTTTATGAAATTCTGGCTGTTAGCGACCGCATTGCTGCCGAAGAAAAAATATTAGTGGAAATATCGTTATAAACTTGGAAGGGTAATTTTATTAAATTAGGAATTATTTGACTTTACATTTATGTAAATTGAACGATATGTTATGACTTCCAAATAAATGTCGTCACGATATGCGCGCCCACCTACTGTGATTTGTTTGTATTATGCCTATAATCTTCGCGCAAATGCAAGCAATAAATTGACTAAGTTTTAGTGCAATCCGATGAACGGTGGCGCATAAAATACAAACAAATACATTGAGCTATTGTGTACTACGTACATATTACTTCAATGAACAAATATAATTTTTTGGACATTGCAATCAAACATCTGTAACTTATTAACTTTACCTGCACTGCACTTGACACATCTTTCCGAATAGTGGAGACTCTAGTCACAGAGAAATGACATATCCCTTTGAAAATATCAGTGTAGTAGAAGGATAGGGGGTTTTCAATATTTTTTTTATTCTTAGACATGCAGGTTTTCTCACTATAAAGTTACAGACTATATACGTCCCACTCCTGGGCACAGGCCTCCCACTCATTTCTGAGAGGGTTTTAGCGCAAGGAATTGTACGCCGCGCTGCCCCAATGCGTGTTGGCGAACTTCACATGTCTTCGAAATAATTTTTTTTTTATTTCTCAGACATGCAGGTTTCCTCACGATGTTTTTCTTCACCGCCAAACACGTGGTAAATCAGCACTTAAAATTTCAATTGACAATTTAATTGGTACCGGTGAAATTTACATAGAGCGCTAACCATCTGTGCTACCACGGCTCTTTTCTCACTATGTTTTCTTTAATCGCAGAGGAACTATTTCAATAGTTTAATATTATTACCTTTGAATTCTAATGGCTGAGCTGCTGTAATGGTGATGATACGGCGCTTACTAATTCCACAACCTATATATATATATATATATATTTTTTTTTATAACTAATTCAACAACACAGATTGCTGAGTTTTTAATAACATTTAAATACTACTCTAATGGATGCCATACACGATCCAGTTTACCGTCAATGACGGTATATGGCCATTAGTGTGCATGACAAGTCCTTTTTGTTAGTAAATCAACCAATCAACAAAGGCCTTTATGCAGAAGTGGAATAAGGAACGCTAATAAAGTTAGAAGGAATAAATATGTTAGTTAAGGCTATGAACGAAACATGAAATAACTTGATCGCAACGCTTGGCAGGCAAATTGGCGACCACAGTATATACCGTCGATTGCTGAACACGAACATTTTTAATAATCGTTTAACGATCGCAGTAACAGATGTATTGGTTACTTCTATATGGTTATGCTGTTTCAAAATCATTAATCCGTTTCCATTAATAAACTCTCATGAAAACAAGCAGACATTTTTTTAAAGGCAAAGACAGAGAGCTCCGTTCATGCTTTCGTGTTGTGGCGACGTGTGAAAATAATCCATCAATCTCCGGAAAATCTATCTTAGAACATTGAAACTTATCCTTAATGTTGCATAAAAATTACAAAATATTTAAACCCAAGAATAGTTTATCCACCGTGTAGTGGCGGTGTAAGAATATCCACTACCCCATATCATCCCGTAGGTGTCGTAAGAGGCGACACAGTTAAACAAACCAGGAGATGGGCAACAGTGTTTTCCTGATGATAGCAAATATCTCCCCTGTAAGACAATATGGCAGGCCTATGTTCAGCAATGGACTTTCGATAGGCTGTAATGGTCCCTGTCTGTATGGTACAACTCGCGGCACGAAAGTCTAGCAATGACCATTATTGCGCATAATTGGCCGTATTGCGTATTATTGGCTGTGCGTATCATACGCACGCGATGATGACTCTCCAGCCGCATTCCGTCCCCCGTACTGATACGACATTCGCAGCTATCACCTCCACGTTTCGTTCAGCACTAGAGTTACGTGCCACGACTTATACAGTTGTTTCTCGCAATACTTGTTTCAAACGCACGCCGTGATATCGTCATGATAGCTCCGTTGCTGGGAGCAGTATGACGTAGTTTGTATTTTTGGATATAATATTGCGGCAGCGTAAATCTAATGGATGTCATAAGAGGCTACTTTGAGTTTAGCCGTGAAAGGAAAAAGGGAGATCTCTCGCCGGGCAAGGTGATCGGCCTGGGGAGCGGCCAATGCTCCGTGTGTTAGTACAGGGTTGTTCAATATATAGCGCTTTACTTCGGAACTTGGATAATTACTAAAACCGGAGGTCGATGTTGTAACCTATATGTGCAAGTGCCAGGAACTGCCTTGTAGACTGCAGTGAGTCGAGAAGAAGACAAGTAATCTGCGAGAGTGCCGTGAAGCAGAGGCGAGCAGTAAGGCTCAGAGCCGTGCCGAACCCCGTAGCGCAGAGAGTAGCTTTAAGGGGAAATATAACCTCAAATGGCTTTGCAAGATCCTCCGTTATGCCGAAAATATTGCAGCATTAATTATGAAATAAATATATGGTAAAGTTGAGGATTAATATTAAGGGCTATGTTAGACGAAAACACGATTCCGTAAAATTTTCTCGATAGAAAAAAAATCTAAAGTTACCTCCAAAATAAACAATAAACCGCTGTTATTCATAAAAAAAAGAAGCGACTGGGTTGGCGTTAAGAAACAGCCATAAATATGATAAACCTAATGAAATACAAAAATATGAAAATAAAAACGGTATCCAATGACCTATCTACTTACAGTATTAGTAATTACAAACATGTCGGTACATAGCATACGACGCGCGGGGAAGTGGTGGCGAAATTAGAATTTGAGCTGACTTACTATATCCCCTTAAGGAACAAGAAGCATTATTCCAGTGCTGGGATAAACCTTGTAAAGCTAAATAGATCTGAAGACTGAATACAAAATCTTGCTCGGGAGAAAATCGATGGGGTAGGTACTTGAGGACGATGACGAAAGCTTTAAGTTGACGTTTCCAAAAGTTGCAATGTGGCGTATTTAAATCACGTCGGTTGGGCACCAATTATATGGCTCTGTAGTGTGTACCTATCGGAAATAAAATAAAACGTCCAATTTCCAGTAGTTATCACTATATTCCGACAGAATACACACACACATATATTAAAAACAAATTAAATTATATAGTTACAGCACAGTTATAGACGAAAGATTTCAACAATATAGTTACGGATATGAACATTATAATATATAATATATACCGGATGACCTTTTGTACCGACTGGAAACAAAATAGGGTGCAACATGTGAATGGAGTAGAAGCCTATGGCACTGATATTTTACAAAAAATGAAAATCAAAAAATATTGAATTAAGTTAATTAATTAAAATCTATCGAAATTCAAATCTAATCCACCCTACTTTACGAACGGTAATAAAACAATTAATTTTGTAGGCATCTTTGATCTTGTCACTTCGCAGGGTCAAAGGCTCAAGGACAAAGATGAAAGTAATTGTTCAAAAAATTTGTTCGAACGTTTAATTCAAAATTATTGTTTCTATTTTTTGTAAAATATCAGTGCCATGGGCTTCTAGTCCGTGCACATCTTACACCCTATTTTTTCATACGGTAAAAAAGGACCTTTTTTATATATGCGCGTTAGTGCTAGAAATTGGCGTTATTGTCAGCTGTAAAATTCCTTGATCGGCAAATGAGATCAGCATTAACTTGTCTCATGTGTAGCATCTCTTACGAGCGCGGATGTTTTTTTTATAAACCTGGAGGGACGTATGAACCCACGACCATCTGATGGTAAGTGGCTACTATAGCCCATGGACACCCATAGCCAACTTCAAACAAAGAAGATTACAAATGCGGTGTCCCCTTTTAGTACTAAGATTTTTTTATAGAATAAGGGTGACAAACGAGCACACAGTCCACCGTATGTTAAGTGGATGCTGTGGCCCAGAGATCTACATTTATCCTAGATTAAGAATCAAAATGCAGATGCGTCGTCACCCCTGAGGACTACGATGGAATGCCTCGATTCCAGTAAAATAGGTCTCCGATACTCTACATTCGTCATACGAAACACAACAGCATTAAGCTCCTATTTTACGCTGGTATTCTGTGAGAGCGTGGTCCTAACCCGGTTGTGCTGACCCATTCGTGCTACAACTAATATAGCAGCAGCGTGACTCTACCACGTAAAAAATCTAACTAACTAATCTACTAAGATAGAATGCCTATAATTATAAGAATAAAACCGGAACACAGCTGTGCAAACATTGATATTTGGCAGCAGAAATAGCCAGTAGAAATAGTATATTGCGGGAAATCCCCTTAATAATGTAGAGGCCTCAACTCAACAATCGAATTTTACGGGCTGAATATGGAAATGTAAGGATTAAGAAAAACGCGATAAAACCTGTAAAAATGAGTTTATTCAATTTGTTATTTTTTATAAAAATGAAGGGACAAACAAGCTTCCAGTTCACCTGATGGTCAGTGGCTACCGCAGTGTGTGCACACCTGCGACCGGTTTCCGACAAAGACTGCAGATTTGTTCTTACCCTTGAGCACTAAGAAGAAATGCTTCACAGCCTATAAGTATACTGGGTCTCTGTACCATTCAGATAGAAAAGCAGTTGTGCAGACACTGCTATTCGGCATCAGAAATGGGTAAGAAGTTGGCACCCACCCTGACGAACAAAAATGGAGTCCTATCACATATTAACTCTAGCACCTTGTTGTAAAATATAAAATCATTTATTTAATGCGAAGAATTTTTACTTTTCACGGGAATATGTCTACACATACCAATCTTGTGGAAGCAAGGACGGGTTATGTCGGACTCGCAACGGGTTAAACCTTTCCCAGTCTCATGAATAGTCCCTGTTCTATGAACATTTCGATTGTTTAACTACTGTCTATTTAGCGGTGAGGACTAAAACCTTGAGCTTCTTCATACGCCAGCACTTCTAAGATCCATATGTCGTCACCGGCAACACGTCAGTCAGTATCAGTTGTACACTCCTGTTTTCAAGTTTTGAGGTGTACATTACTAGATGTGACGTAATCTCCAGAACGTCACCCATCCGAGTTGAATCCGCCGATTGACCTCTCAGTCTGAGTTGGAGTCCTTGATAAACATACTCGCTAACGTCTTCAAGCTTAGTACTCCCAACAACTATCGGCATAAGTGTGACATTTACGTTACTTTTGTTTAGTCTAGTTCCAATTTTAGACCTATTCGTTAGAAGACACTATTGAGGTCATTGATCATAGTGTTGAGATCCTCCAGCGATTTTGTCATAATGACTATATCTTCGGAAAATCGAAGGTAATTGATGTACTTGCCATTGACGATACCATATCCATTCCAGTTTAGTAATTCTAAAATTTCTTTCACACCTCTCTGAATATCTTCTTTCTTCTTTTACACCTCTGCAGTTGGGTAGGTTTCGAACTCTACTATACAAAAGCTTCAGCAGTTCGATATACCGATAGTTAAATTAGCACCACTTTAGGGACTGTTGCGCCGCCGAAATTTTGACGTAATCAAAGGCTATCTCATATACAAGTATGACAGACGCAAGACAAAGTGGCAAATTGTAACTCTTCAGTCTTCTACAGTTTTCCTAAGTTACTATATTATTATTTATTAATAATAATATTACTTTATTTGTACTTAAGTAATTACAGAGTTAACCATTCAGTTACATTTTGCTGCGATTTAGAGTCAAAAATGTTGCCAATTTCTAGTTCCATGCGTCAAAGATACACAAACACATACATTCCACGATATTTCTAAATGGTCCTGCAAACAGAAGATATGTGCAATGAATGGAATAAAAGAGCAGATGGACACTTTTATTTTATTTACACGTTTATCATGGGTCTAATATTATAATATAGTAATAAATCGTTTTTACACCAGTTCGACTATTAGGTATTTGTTTACGCGGATCGCTTCAGCTTCCACATTTTGTTGGACGTACTGAAAGGTCGCTTGTTGTTTCCTGGACCGTAATCCTAGGGACCAAAGACTTGTGCCATGAACTTGAAATAGTATTTAACCGTTTTCAAACTATAGAACGAGTAGTTCAGGCGAATCGTTTCTTCTTCTTTCGAGTCCGTGCGGGCCGGACGGTGAAGGCACACGATTGGACTAACGCCACCAGCCCCTAGTCCTGCAGGCCGAAGAGCGGCGGCAGCAGGCAGCCCCACTGCGTGGGGGAGGGCGGGGCGGAGGGGGAGGGAGAGGGACGCGGGCGGGGGAGCGGCCCGCGCTCGTCCCAGTACACGTAGGGCAGCCGCAGCACCCAGTAGGCGGACGCGCTTAGCTTCAGCGGCGGCTCGCCCACGGGACGCGGGATGAAGATCGGTCCGCCCTTAACCGGTTGCACCTGTACATGCAATGAATATAGTTAGTTAAAATATAAGTGGCAATCTTCTGTTGCGCACCACATTGTTTTTTTGTGATCCTAGTGGGTTGTTTTTTCTTTAAATAGAAGCGATGGTCACAAACAAACACCGTTGTTGTTGCCGAGTACGTTTACCTGGGACAAATAGACCGACTAGGTAAGTCCAACTTCGACCGAGAAGTCAATCGACGGATTTAACTCGACTGGGCAGCGTTCGGGAAATTACGACACATCTTCTTGTCAGCTATACTTCAAAACCTGAAAACTAAATTTTACAACCAGTGCGTGTTGCCAGTGTGGACCTATGAAACAGAGACGTGGTCCTTCACTGCTGGCCGTATGAGGATGCTCAAAGTTACACAGCGAGTTATGGAGAGGGCTATGCACGGGGTGTCTCTCCGTGAGAACTTAGAAATAAGGATATCCGCAGTAGAACCAGAGTGACCGACATACCTCAACGGATTAGTAAGCTGAAGTGGCAATCGGCCGGCCAGATAGGTCGAAGAACCGAGAACCGTTGGGGAAAAAAGGTTCTTGAGTGGCGGCCTCGTACCGGTAGGTAGGTGGCAGGTAGTACTCGTGCGTAAGTGTAGGGCGACCCCCCACCAGATGGAGCAATGACCAGGTAAGACATGCAGGAAGTCAATGGATGCAGGTGGCTCAGGATCGTGCTTTGTGACATACCTCGGGGGAGGCCTATGTTCAGCAGTGGACTTGTGAAGGGCTGTAATGATGATGATGAGCAGGCTGGGTTTCGAGGAGGCTATGACACCACATAGACCAAATTCATACAGTGTGGCAAATTACACAGAAGACAAATGAGTATAATCAGCCTTTTTTGTATGGTCTTTGTGGACTATGAGAAAGCCACATCACATGACTCCATCGAAACTTGGGCTGTTATTAATTCCTTGCAGCGTTGTCGGATATACTGGCGATACATTGATGTTTTGAGACATTTAAACACTACAAACTCGATGTCCGTCCAAGTACAAGGTGGTCTTACAAAACCTTCTATCTAAAAGCTACTTATTTGACGCTGTTATTCACACAGAATACCAGCGTCAAATAGTAGCTTAATGCTGCTGTGTTCCGTATGATGAGTGTACAGAACCGGACACCCTTTTTACTGGAAACGAGACATTCCACCTAAGTTCTCAAGGATGACAACGCATCTGCATTTTGATTCATAATCGAGGATAAGGTATACTGTGTGCTCGTTTGTCATCCTATCCTATAAAATAAAATAAAAACCTATCCTGTCCTGTCCCTATAACCAGTGGCGACGCTAGAGCTCCAAACTAGTGCAAGCCCAATATATAAATAGATAAAAATATAGATTGTTGTTTTTATCAGTTTTAAAAATACACCACTCTTGATCTGTCTCTCGACAACTTCATTCCTAAAGCCTGGCATTAACTCTCTATACTAATTGCCATATATATTATCGTAGTTATATTTCATTATAGAATATTTTGCCATAGGTTAGAAAGGGAGCGATCGCCTTCTCGAAAGCCCCTTAAAAAGCCCACGCGAGCGAGAGAGAACTAATCGCTCTATAAGCTAAGGCAATACGAGGTCATCGGTCAACCTGTGTCAAACAGTGGAATGCGCGGGAAATTTGAAATAGTTTGAAACAGTTTACGAGTTATTTTATTAGTTGATATCATTGATTGATTCAGTTTGATAAGGCAAGCCCGGCTTTATGGCTTCTATGGAGGCTTCGCCACAGCCTATAACATATCCGTGTGGGGCACAATATCCCCAAAACTGATCACAACAGCACTGGAAGATGAAAATTGAGACGCTGGGAGTGCTGAAAATTTTGTTTTTGACTTCGAGATCATTATTACGTTTTAGTAATTAATCGTATGTCTCAGTATCCGCGCATTGTACGAAATCGGGTAGAGCTGTCATAGAATTTCCCACAAAGAAGAACAAAACGCCGACGGAAATATTTGAATGGATGTCGACAGTTTACGGGGATTCTGAACCATCATTTGCCACCGTAAAACGGTGCAGGCGAGAATTCAAGCAAGGCAGGGAGTCGCTAGATGACCCCAGGTCAGTGAGGCCAAACACAGCAGTTAACGAAGAAAAGAGAAAAAGAAAGAAGAACATCGGCGAATATGTTGTGGCAGATAGCTGAAGACTCATTAGCACATGCAAAAGGTGTGTACACGATGGGTGCCAAAAATGCTTACTCCGCTGGACAAGGAGCGCCGAGTCACAACTTCGCAGGGGTTTTTGGACATCTGTGGCAATAATTCTGACGATGTTTTTTCTCGCATGTCACTGTTGATAAAATATGGATCTGGCACTAAGGTCCAGAGTCAAAACAAGAGTATTGACTCTGGACCATTTTCAATCGATTGAAAAGGGAGACAAGCCACCACGGAAATCAATAAACGTATTGTGGGACATTCTCGGGCTAGATGGAACGACATTCTGCGCAAGGCGGCTGCCAGCTATTAGATACGAGTAGCGGAAGATTGGGCTTAGTGGCGCTACCTTTGGAGTGTGCAGTCCAGAAGTGGACTGCCGCAGGCTGATGATGCTGATGACATGTGTTTGTTTATAACGGTTTATGTAGGAGTGGTGTCCGTCACTGACCTTGGGATCGAGTGTGACGTGCACTGGCGCCTTGGGTGTGACGACGTGCACTCGTGCGAGGTGCGCCATGTGTGTGAGCGTGTGATGGGAGTGGTGCGGGTGGTGCGCGTGGTGCGGGGCGCGCGGCGCGGCGCGGCACAAGCAGGCGGCGCGCACCGGCAACGCCGCGCCCGCCAGCCGCGCGCCAGCCGCCGCCTCGCGCGCCCACCCGCCGCCACCACCGCCGCCGACACCTGCACCTGCACCTGCACCCACATACACCACGCAGCCACATTAAAACCGACAGGATACTATAATACACAATAGAATGGCTGTCAACTTTAGTTTGTACGAAGTTTGGCGTCGCCAAACCCGATTCGCTGTGTTGACAAACTGAATAAATTTACACAATTTAGACTTTTGATTGATGTTCAAGATCATCATTAAAAATCGTTTAAAATTTTAATACATATTTATTTGTAAATAGGGTGCAATTTGGCATTTTTTAAATATTTGTATGCGAAATTTGAAAACGATTGTAACGTCAAAACACATCTTGTGTTGACATTTATATGTGCGAATTGACGTGTTAGTGACATTTTAAGTGGCTGCGCGGGCTCCGAGCACTCCGCAATTCTATAATGTATGTATTATATGTTAAAACCCTATCTACGCAATGAAGGCTCATAAATCTTCGGCTAACCAGATGTCGCTAGTTAGGACTGAGGTAAATTCATTTGTTACACAATATCATTTAATAGGATAATAAACCCATTTTCAAATAGAGTTTTAAATGACTTCTATAGTGATAATGAACCACGATAACTTTTATATAATTTTTTTTAAACGGAATTGTGCCATAAATGTTTCTTTTAATTTATCGTAAATTTACGCGCGAAAACGCTAGCCGCCATGTTGTTAAGCTCGTGATGTCACTCCCTAGGATTTTGCCGATTTTGCAAAGAAATAAAATATTTTTGGATGTTTAATAATGAGTTATCATCTTTATCACTGTGTTGTGTCTGAATGCAAAAACAAGAGCATAAGAACGCCACGGAAGTTATGGATTCAAATGCCAACTGATTTAAATTTGAGAAATACTTGGTTAAAACTGGCAAGAACCCGGATAAATTGTGTACAAAAACTAGACTATACTTCTGTGAAGGTCATTTTGATGTATCATGAGGAGATAGGTATTGCAAGTCAAATATTGTAATAGATTACGTTATCTTAGTTTTTATAACTAATAATTGCTAATTAATGTAATCATAGATAAACATAACTATGTATTTTCAAAATACACTCTGATCTGGTATTGTGTTATTGTATAAACAAAAGTTAATAATATACATTGATGTTTTAACATCCCTCAACTCAGCAAAACAAAACTGGGGATTGCACACAACAATTTTTACTATCATCGATGTATTTATGCTTGGTAGTCGTACTTTCCGTTTTTACGAATCAATCTTCTATGATGCCTTCTCAATAAAGTTCAGAATAAAACTCAACAATCGTAATGATAACTTGAAAATTTTCGAAATAACATAAAATACATTAGAACAGAATAAATAATAGCACTACGTACAGAAGTTGCACTGCTTTGATGTTGACTGCTTGGCGATGTTTATATATAAATAGATAGATAAATCGCGCACGCAAGCTAAATAAAACTTTATCTCTGCGCGCGAGTGTCAGTTTTACTTTGCATCTTTTTCTCTTCCTACGTCACGGCGGACTTGCCGTGGTTACTAACGGCTATCAACAAAGAGTAAAAAATACATTGCGAAAGGGTAATTTACTTAGATTGTATACGTGTAGACTGTGTGAGCTTCTTTTGTCCAGCAGATTTCAAGCATCCGGGTGTCCCCCATTACCCGGGTTCTCCTCGCGGTCCACTGTGGACCGGTCATGGGAGCCGTCATCGGTATTGTTTTGCGGCATTTGCCGCAGTTAGATGTTAAATTGGTTGGTTATCTGATTTGTTAATATTGATATTTCAGTGACGTTGAGGTTATTATTCGACTCTGTAATCTATGTTGAGAGTTCTCATGGTAGAGCTCGTCACTCGCGAGCGGCATGTAAAGGTGCCAAGTTGTTGAGGTAGGAATGTGGCCAGTTGTCAGCTGGACCAGGGTTAAATTTTGTAGGGTTAAATTTTGGTGGTCCTGCAGCCGCTGTCTCTGCAGTTCGCTCAAAAGTGCGTACCAGGCCGAAACAGCTTAGGTGATCCTTGGTTGGATGTATAATTTATATATCTTTTATTTGGATTTCAGTGGCAGCTTGGATGCCAGGACGGGACGGAGCTTGCTCGCACACATTTGGTAATGCGAACGACTATATCGACGTGGGCAGTCATGCGCAGCATCCTGTCTATCTGGCATACAAGGTAGGTCACGGCCTTTTGATACGCAATCTCTTGTCCTCTCAGCTTCAGCGGTGGTGGTAGTTTTCTGAAGCGGCGGGTGAACAGAGTGGTCATTTTCCCAATATTGACGGCCATCTTCCACTCATCCAGCAAGTAGCGAAGCCTCCATAGAAACCGAAAAGCCAGACTTGCCCTTTCAATCTGCTCAATCAATAATATCAACTAATAAAATAACTCGTAAACTGTTTCAAACTATTTCAAATTTCCCGCGCGCTCCTCGGTTCTACACAGGTCATGAGCTCGTAGCATATATGTAACGTCAACACTTGGTAGTTTGCTTTCAATTCTAAATACACTGATTCGTGTTCTCTCTGTCTCAAAGCGAATACGCAATGGACTGGCAAAATTAATGAAAGCAAGGAGTTGATTTGAGCGATTAGTCGTCTCTCTCGTACGCGTTGGCTTTTTACCGGGCTTTCAAAAAGACGATCACTCACTTTCTAACCTGTACCAAAATGTTCTAAATAAAATATAACTACGAAATGTTTATATAGCAAAGTTGTTTCGGAGTGCACTGGCGATACGTTTGCAAGTTCACTTCACATTTCAATTGAAAATTGAAAATTTATGCTTTTTCAAAGATTTTTAGTGAAAATGGAGGATAATAATGTTCCTTGTGATGAACTGAAGTGTGTTAAAGTGCTAATCGGCGAGGAAAAGGTCAAGAGCGTCTTTCGGACTTATCAATTATTGCAATTGAAAAACAATTATTGGTACAATTAAAATGTTCACCAACATTTTACGCGGACGTAATCAAATCTTTCCTTAAGAAAGAGAGATAATTCAATTTAGAATATAAATAATTTTTTTTTATAATTTTGTACATACTTTGTTTGTACATGTATAGTAGTATAGTTTGTGGCATGTATAGTATTGTATGTAAATATCTTTTTCTTTCGCTCAAGAAAACCCAAACGGCTTTTTTCAAAGCCACCGAAGGTATGCAATTGCTGATATGTCATCAATCTATCCAGCAGTAGTATGCTTTCTGTGTGCTTTGTTAAACACGTCTTCGACAGCACTGAATATGAAACCGAAGAGTGAAGACAGATCAAGATTGTTGTGATGGGATTCCCTTTGCCCTGATAGCCTCCTCTATTGCGGTTGGGTCCGTGTCCACTGGCAAAACCGTGTCCCTCGAATGCCCACTTTTGTGGGCTCCTCCTCCTTTGAGGTATAACAGTACCAGGACATGGCTGGTAATTTGACGGTGATTTCTATGAGGTACGGCTGGATTGTACGGACTTTGGGGGTGAACCGTACCCCCTTCCCAAATGGACGAGCGTTAGGATAGCCTAACTTTTTGTTGAGTACCTCGAAATATTTCGTCCAGTCCGGGAGGCACTCAACGAATATAGGTGAATAGAGTGATTTCTCAGTTTCTGTCGTTGGGTTTGGTACCTCAGCTGCCCCCAGCAGTATTTGTAGAAGACATTTGACCATCGTCCGATGGTAGGCCTGATGGGTTGGTTGTTGGCACGGACGATGATTGACCAGCGGATAGCGCTAACGTTGCATTGGTGGTGGAATCCCACTTGTAGAATTCTTCCCCTTCCTTGCCATGTCCATGCTGTCCCGACGGTCGGGTGAGAACAAGGGGGTTGGCTTTAGTGGTGATAGCGATTTAGGCGGCAACGTGTGGACTTTATGTCAGCTCGGTGGGATTTTTTCGTCTTCAGGTTCAGAAGATGATGATAATGAAGACAATTTTATGGGTGTTTTTTATGCCCTGCCATGCTTTAGTTTTGGGTGATGTGTGCCTCCTTGTCAATTTCTTCACCTGTTCTTGACCAATCGTGTGCTCAGGCATGGTGGGCGTGAGCGCGGCACTCGTTAAGGGTTCTTTTTGCGGCGAAGCAGGCTTCCTCGTTGGTATTTGGGAGTATGTAGCTATCCTCGACCACTCCGGATTTGATAGGTCCCTTCGCCAATAGAGGCCGATCCAAAACGCCCGGTCGATCCGATGGTTTCGTAATGGACGCTGGACCCCCCTTATCCGACATTGTTACTATTGTTTTGTTACAACTGTTGTAGGTAATTTATACGTGTCCTGATATGTTCCTATGTAACAAGCCGACGACTATAGCGACAAACGACGCGAGAAGTATGAGTGGGTGAAACGCTATTGACCGCAACACTTTGGGGCACTGCCTACCCCTTTCGTTACGAAAGAGTTGGGGGAAGTGCTTTGTTGGCAGTCGCGCACGCGACTAGACACACAAGGCGCGGAGCGCGCTTGAATGGCTAAGGTTCTGCTTAGGGGCCGATGATCTCCACGCCTCATGGAGCGGACTCAACGTTCAGCGGAGTATGTCATACCGGCAGTTGTATGTGACGCCACTGCTAATCACAAACAACACCTAGGAGATCCTTGACAAGTCTTAGATAAGGTACCTAGTCAAATTTCGGGAACGTCTAAAGGAGTTTTTAAAAACTAAAATACAATTAGATGAATACGCATCACCGATTTGGAGGTGGCTTTAACAATGAATCAATTATAAAGAGCCTGTTCGTGCGCAGACATTCGACTCATCAACTAAGTATTAGGAATCTTACATAAAATGCTGATGTGTTAGTTTTATTGCTTAGCTTAAATAATACAATACATTTTAATATTCTAGTCTAAAACAGAGGGACGGGGTGTATCCATAACTGCCTATTCTGACTATGATCGACTGACCATATTTTCGCTACTATGTGAGTTCTGTGACGCCCAACGTATGGAACTTGCAAGGCCATTCGTGGCGGATAGCGATGCTTAGCTGGGAAGAAATAGGTAGGTAGTGTAAACAACAAATAAAACCGAAATACGATTTCTAAACATAACGTGATGGTATTCTACTTACTTAAAATCTTGTTAAGAAAATTTACTTCAGATGTCACAGCATCACAACGGATTCTAATATGACGGATAGCGTATTGGAGATTTGAGACACAGATAAAAAATGTTCCTAAAATTGAATTATAAAATTTATAATGCATTTTTATGAATAGACGTCAATGTTTCTCATTTCCTCTTTACAAAACCTTAAATATATATCATAAATATATATTTTCAGATTTTTTTCTTCTTCCTAAGGTGCCGTCTCCTTGCGAAGGTTGGCAATCATTAGGGCGATTTCAACTTTTGATACCGCTGCTCTAAATAGTGATCTTGTGCTCTTCCCGAACCACTGGCGCAAGTTCTTCAGCCACTATATCCTTCTGCGGCCAGGCCTCATTCTGCCTGCCACTTTCCCCTGAATGATAAGTTGAAGGAGTTCATATTTTTGGTGGATATGCATCACATGCCCAAAATAGTCCAATTTCCTCCTCTTTATTGTTGTAAGTATCTCTGTGACCTTCCCCATTTTTTGTAGCACGGTGGTGTTTCGTACGCGGTCTCTCCAAGAAATTCTTAGCATACGTGTGTACACCCACATCTCGAACGCTTCCAGTTTTTTAGACATGGCTTCTGTCAGCGTCCAAGCTTCTACACCATTGAGAAGTACAGAAAAGACATAGCACCGCGCTATGCGTGTTCGAAGAGAAATACTTAGGTTCCGGTCACAAAGAACTTTTTTCATTCTCGAAAAGGCGTGCGTGCCTGCTCTATTCTGCATCGTATTTCGAGGCTGTGATCTCCTGTTTCGTCAATCATTGTGCCTAGATATTAGAATTTGGTGACCCGTTCGAGACTCTGACCATTTAGGGCTAAAGACGTGATAAGCTCAGGTGTTCGGCTTACTACCATGTACTTCGTCTTATTGGTATTGATGTTAATACCGTATTCAACACTAACGGAAGCCACTGAATCTACTAACCTTTGAAGACCCGCAAGACTATCGGAGATTAATATCGTGTCGTCTGCGTACCTAATGTTGTTCAACAATTTGCCATTAATTGATATGCCGTCTGGACTGTTATCTAGTGCCTCTGAAGATATGGCTTCAGCATACAAATTAAACAGTAAAGGTGACAAAATACATCCTTGTCGTACGCCTCTTTCTATGTCAATGTATGACGATGATTTCCTGTTTACCCTTACATTTGCACGCTGGTTCCAGTATAAGTTTTTTATGAATCGGCGGTCGTTGAAGTCTAAGCCAATTTTCTGAAGTATTTCAATCAACTTGCCATGTTGAACGCGGTCGAAGGCTTTTTCATAGTCAATAAAGCAGACAAACAGATCTTTATTCATATCCCAACATATTTGTACCAGTACTTGATAGCCAAAAAGTGCGTCTCTAGTTCACAAACCACTTCTAAAACTAAACTGAGTATATGATAGTACGAGTCCGTACTATCATATACATTTTGAGTAAATTCTGTTATAGATTATTTTTAAGAACAGCTTCAAAACATGACTCATGAGCGAAATGGTACGATAATCACTGCATCTTTAAGGATTTTTTGTCATGGTGTAAATACACTATTAAAGAGATAGTTTTAAACAAAAGTGCATCTCTTTCTAGAGTATTATTTATATAATTCTCTAGAAAGAGATGAACTTTTGTACACATATGGCGGCGCTGTTGTCGCGCCGCAAGCGAAACACACCGAACAAACCGAAAGACAAACCGAAGCCTAAATCACGCTATCAACATTCCGAATCATAAACAGTATATATAGAACATCTCCGAACTATCACACGGAGTGTTGGCCGCTCCCCGGGCAGAACACCTTGCCCGGCGGGAGATCTCCCCTTTTCCTTCCACGGCCACACATAACAATGTCTCAGTGGTTTGCTCTTTAATCGTTTGCATATTTTAACTGGAGAATTAGTTACTTTTCTTAAAAAAACATTATAAATACATAACGATGGTAGATAATTTACCCAATATTGTTTAATCACCCTCTATAATTTCGGCATAATTTTAATAAAACAACTCCTTAACAAAAAGAGTGTGTCTTCAAGGCAAAACAAATAATCTTTTGTAAAGCTGTTAGTTAGTACGTTTTACCATTTTCGGCTACATCACTTCAGGCGTCATAGTAGTCAAACATTGGTTTATAGTAGGTATAAATTATTATACATCTAAGTTTTTTTACCTATTATATATCGTACACCTACTATATGGTAATTATTAGGTAAAAAGCGAACCGCGTCCAGTAAAATCAGACTCACACAAAGATCATGATTTGGCATTTTTATTATTTCGGGCTTTCTCAGCGCGGTCGCTACTGGCACTAAACGAACGCGCACCTCGTAACCGAATTGTCAAATGCTAATTTGTAGCTATGTATACCGCCCATCCGCAAGTAACTACCTAAACAGTTTATTATATTCTACGCTATTAATATATTTATCTACAATTACAATTGTATTGCGATACAATTAATGTTGCATTCATACCCGCAGCGCCTGCACCACCGCCACCGCTCAGCGCGCCCTCTGGGGACGACATCATGAACCTGAAAACAAACAACAGGCAATAAGCTACTCTGCGTGTATTTTATACAATGTTTTTCCATTAAAATACAGTTTATTGCATTTCGCATTAAAAGGAACGTGGAAACCAGTTGCACCTAGATTTTTCTATCTACTCTCATGGGGTATTTGAACACGTGTGCTAATGACCGTGAAATTAACCACCTCAGTAACGTAGTAAACGCTAACTTAAAGTATCTCTGCGACTTAGGAATAAACGTTTAACGTCATATTTTTAACAGTTGCCACGTGTTCGAAAAATACATCCATTTTCCTTCCTCTCTTGGTATCTAGGTATTCATTACCTGACTTAAATGAGGTGGTTATACGATCTTTCTGGCAGTTAATTTTGTCACCTCTTACGAAACATGCGGGCAAGATGGGGATGGATGGCTTATACCAACTCTTCACGGCAATAACACATAGCGTAAATAAATACGTTCGCGTACGTACGTACGCGTATTATATAAAAGTTTATATAATTTATTAGACAAGGTGCTTCAGTCAGCGCTCTGTAACAAATTATTTCTTTACTGTAGGCCGAAAACAAACTTCGAAATAACTGGTCTTAGCAAAAAAAAAACCTCTATACCCATGTTATGTAATGATAAGCGCTGTGGATTGAAGATGTTATTATTGTATCCGGCTCGAAGGACCAAAACATGTTTAAATATTTATTTCAAAGGCAGAAAAGATATCAACCTAGTGAGTAATTACATAATTATTATTATGTTGTCTTTATTATCCGTACTATCATTACATAAGAGTAGTATTATATTTTCAAAGGATTAAGCCCCATATGCTGGCGGCATAAGAGAATCTATCACCAAATTTCGATCCGTGAGGTATATAAGGCGACTATGGAAATTGCCAGAAAAACCTGGATTCCGACAGATAGCTACATAACCAACTCGTTTATTTCAGACCTAAGATATCTAGTACTGCGATCGCTAAATCACCCTCTACAATGGGAGAGCTCCACGTTCAGTAGTGAAATATTGCAGGGTGATGATGAAAACAATATATTCATAGATATAGGTGACAAAGACAAATTTATTATCAGAGAAGGCATACCTATGTCCTCTTGGGCACTCATACTCGAATCCAATAAATATCTTGACAGTAAGGTGGTGTGGTGGCATTCCTTTGCCACGTCCGCGGGATGCTCGCCACGCACTCGCTTGTTCCATTCTAAAATAATTGATAGAATCTTACTTTGCGGAAATCCATTGTCGAAAGCAAACTACCGACACGGTCGGTATGAGTTGGCTTTCGATACATTTGAAAAACATTCAACGACTCCTTTCTTGTTATTGTTAAGTCAAGGAAATTAAGGGAGCAATCTTGTTCCAATTCAAGCTCAAATTTAATTTTTTCGTGGACTCTATTTTATTAAGGAAAACATCCAGTTGTCTCCTTGTGCCAATCCAGCAAATAATTATGTCGTCTACATATTGATAATAGCATAAGATATTTTGGTTAACAACTACATGTTGTTTTTCGAAATTATCCATGAAAATGTCCGCCATAAGTGGACATAGAGGGGACCCCATAGCTAACCCTTCTTTTTGTAGATAGAAAAAAACAATAATAATAATATTTAAAAAATATTAATCATAACAACAATGATAATTAGTTGCAGGTTTGTTATCGCAGGGCGCGGTCACACGGTACTTTGGTGGGGAGCGGTTGTGTCGGCGTGTATAAATAGCAACTGTTTCGGCTCTTTTTGTTTTTCTCCCGCTTCCCCCTGACCGCTCACTTAGCGGTCAGCCTCCGTAGAGTCCACATCACCTGAGGATGGCTCGTGTAGAGGCGAAACACGTGTCGTATTATCGTCGATGGTGTGTCTTGCCGGTGTGGTGTTGGGAGTAGTGGTGCTGGGACTAGTGGTGGCGGAGTTAGTGCATGCAATTGAGGTAGGGCGGGAGGTGCTCTTCAATCCAGGTAAGACACATCATTGCATTTAGTTAGCGAAACGTTACAAAGTAATTAATATTTTTATTATTTATTGTTCCATTCTACAAAAAAAATATAAAGTTTTTTTCAAAAAGCAACTACCTACAGATTTGAAGCAATTAACAGTTCTTTGGTTTGTTGAAATTTTAGTTTCTTACGTCGAAAACTAAAGAGTTTTCATAATATATCATATCGTGTTATAATCATAAACACTCAAGACTGTCACCCAAAGGGGTAGGTAGAGACTACGAACTTCCATTTAGCACGAACCTGACATACCTCTCTCGCCTCCTATATATACCTTACGCATATATGCTCGTCAGTTAGTCAGTTTTTTCCTTTATCTGGCCCATCTTCAATATATCGCCAATTTGGTCGATAAAATTTCATCTAGGGCGTTCCCTCCCGACTCTACCGTTCACTTTTGCAACATATATGTGTTTGCTTCATCACTCATTCATTCGTTCTAAATGACAAAACTTTCTTGATTCTGGTCACATCATCTTGCACTTTACTCTTAACACAATTTCTCACCCCGTCATTCATATTCAGGCCTAACGGAGCCCGTAATGACCGCATTTCTACAGCATTTATTCTAATCTCGTGCTTTTTTTGCCACACCCAACTAACGTACATTAAGGTAGGGACTAACACAGCATTGTGAATTGCCATATGTGCCTTTTTGACTAATTCTGACTTCCCACAATAGTGTGGGCTCTACATTTGTTTTATTTTCTGCATTCACTAATCGTTCTATCACTCATATCCACCAACACTGCTAAATATACATCTCAAACATACAAATAAATTACATGCTCTATCAACTCCTCTTCTATTGATATTATTAAGAGTAGAGCCTTTTAATCAAACTGATGTAGACTGACAAATATATATGGTTATTTACATCATAATATCATGCAATTAATGCCAATAGAAAAAGCATACACTTACTATAAGGTGGACTACGTGCTCGTTTGTCATCCTAAAACTATAAATAAGAAATGTGAAAGCTCTTATTATCTGCTATATAATACTTTCTGCAGTCTTTTAAAAGTAGTATGAAGTGGCAACTATATTGTAATGGGTGATGCATACTGACTATGTCTATTTGTATTTTATTAGAGAGCTCACCTCACTGAGCAGTCCCAGGGCAGAAGATAATTTGTGTGCGGCAAGAAGCCGGGCTGCAAATGCTCGGGCAGACCCAAACTATGCGAGTAGAGGGACGAAGGCCCGAGACACACTAGCGACCAGCTCGGGAACGCCGGCAACAAGTTTGCGGGACTCGCCGTATGCAGCATTCCAGGTAAATACTCCGTTGTTGACGGTTGACGGCTCATTACTTTATCTGTAAGAATATTAGCACTGTAAAGCAAAGAGATAACATACCAGAACTATAACTACTACACACAATATCTATTAAAATGGCATCCTTTATAGTTAGTTGATTTATATGACTAGTGTGTACTTTTGTCACTTACTTCTATCAAGTATAATGTTGCGCGTCATAGTTGAAGCCTGGTACATGGCGGGTTATTTTTAGCGCCATCTAGTATCGAATAGCAGAAATAGGAGCGTCAAGATCTTCTAGAACTTTCCCACTAGCGCCATCTAGTGTCCAGTGGCGAGGGCTTTCTGGAGGATTATTTGCTAGAACTTTCGACATTCTACTCGAACATTCTAGATATTTTCGGTGGAAAAGGTCCTATATAAAATCAGTAGAACCGCGACTGAAGTAGTATTGAATTGGCGACACAAGCGAAGACTTCGGAGCGAAATAAAGTGAACTAAAGTGTTAAGTGTGATTAATTACTGGTGTGTTTTAAGTTTTTATTGATGTTCAGTAATTAAAGTGTCAATTTTGGTAATTCAATCGGCAGTTTTTATCGTCGCAAACTCTTAGCTCGTAACAATAATATTACCTGGGCTAACGCTTTGCTTTGCTTTGGAAATATAAAATTTTGTTAAAAATGACACACAAATAAAACAACACCTGAATACAAATTTTCATCCATATTTTTAGAGCTGTTTCCTATTACATATATATAATGTTATATACACAAGAATTGATTACTTAAAGTACCTATCAAAAGTATACAATTACCCACCAGATGCAGTGTCCTCCCTGAGTGGCACGATCTCCAAGCCGTCCCGCTGGTCGCTGGCAGCGGTCGTGTCGTGATCGTCTTGGTCCTCGTCGTCCCGGACGGATCCCGGAGCGGATCCCGGTGCGGATCCCGGAGCAGATCCCGGCGCGGAGCCCGGCGACAAGGCGTGCGGCGACCAGGCTGAGCCCTCGCATTCCGCCGACGCACCAGATCCTATTGACCCGCCCTCCGCTGCAACTTCTGCACCTTCCCCCGGCTCTTCGCACCTTAATCCTTTCACTGAAGCCGCCCTGTATAGACACACAATTGAAAAGTTGACATAGCCATTAACAAATAACTAATCCAGCCGCTCAATTTCACCATCGCTCATCGCGACAAAAGTCGCAAAACCATCCACCATCTGGATGATTTGGGGTCCACCACAAGTTTTATTTCTCGCACAACTTTATTTGTGGAATTGATTACCACAAGCTAAATTTCCGGACCGATACGACTTAGGGACCTTCAAGAAAAGAGCCTACTTTTTTTAAAAGGCCGGCAACGCATCTGCAATTCGACTGGTGTTGCAGTTGCTCATATGCGGTGGTAGTCACTTACCATCCAGGTGAGCCGCATGCTCGTTTGCCCCTCTCCTATAAAAAATATTTTAATTTTAATTTTGTACATTATGATGGTTTGACAATTTAAAAAAAGCATTTAATTTGACGAGTATCATTTTTTTACTTTTAGCGTCACAAAAGAGCTAAATATCCACCAATAATACGTAGTCCCTGTAACCCTTGGACACATGCAACCAACTTCAAAAAAGAAGCTAACAGATGCAATGCCATACCCCAAGGGCTAAAATGAAATGGTTCAGTCTCTAACTATACTTACTTGTTTTTACACAAAAGGACTGTGAGTTTAGCGAAAAAATTAGGAAATTATAAAGAGGTTTGTTACCAATCCCATTGGGACTAAAAAAATATCCTATCCCCATATGTTCTCTTAGATTTATTTTGGTAAAGGCAATAATTTACGAATAAGGTCAAGTTATAAACTGAACGTGCAAACAGAAATGCAAGAGTCTCTAAAGCTGAACCGTACATTTGTCAGCACCGTACGCGCCGCATTTTAGAATTCGTTGTATGAAATCATATGAAACCTCGCACATTGCAGCTGCAACGTACGCGCCGTATTTTATAAAATGCGGTAGGTATCCGAATATTGAAAGTGCCATGCTGGTGATGACTTATAAATGCAGCATGTTCGGCGCGTGCTGATACTCGGTGTTGTCTAATGTTGCCAACTTAGTGGATTTCCACTAAAACTGCTGATTTCGACTTTCGTTTCAAGCATAGTATAAACATAATTAAAAACGATAATAGACCTTTACCGGTAGCTGAAGCATGTTGAATGGTGTACTCAAAAAAAGAACGATCAAAATTCAAGCTTATCAGTGTTAGTGTTAATGAATCCGAGCAGACCAACCCCACCACACATGTTTACGAGTATGACACATGTTCACGAGTATGACACATATGACAGCTATCGCCTCAACTATATTAAAGTGAAGTGGATGACCTTAAGCAAGCATGATACTCAGCAGCGTGGCTCCATCATGTAAAATGCTAAAAATAATTCAGTGACTTGATTGATGGCAAAATGCATATGAAAACACTGAATTCAAATTATAAAAATATAAACAGAGATCCAAAACGCTGGCACAATTGACAATGAATTTAATTAATGATGGGTGTGATATGAATAAAAAATTTGGTGCACACATTACTTGTTACAACACACCTGAAGGTAGGCGTCGAAGGCTGGAACACCGGCATCTCGATGGACTGTAAAGTGTTGCAGATGCCGCACTCCTCGGCCGCCTGCTGGTAGAAGTCGTAGTTGGCTTGTTTCAACGTGTACGGGTCCTCGCGGGAGCACTTGCTCCGCCCACAGTTGCACGCACTAATGTAGCGTATGCCCGATGAATGGTCTTTACTGCTGTCACTAAGGGTAATATAAAAAAATAGGTTACTAAATTGTAAATATAATTAGTTACATTATAAATTTTACTGTAACTGGTCACTGTAAAACGATAGATGAATAGTTTCCGAGTATCAATCCTAGGGTGGTTTTTAAGGGAATAACCCTTACACTTGTAATGTAACTAAATAATAAATCTTATAACTCGCAGAAATTAACTTGAGACTCGTTCGTGACATTGTTTCCACTCCCGTTCCCCCGCGACGCAGACTACCTTTGTCACCTCAATACGGATTCTCATTACGCTCTGACGTTATCCGTGGAAGGTCTCCAGTAAGTGGTGGGTGGGGGGGGGGGATATTTATATAAAGCCAGTAAAATATGTTCGGTTAAAATATTACGTAAACCGTATCATTGAAAGTTCTGAAAAATAGAGATAATCTGTTCACATGCATTGGTTTATTCTTTTATTTAAATAATACACAAATACTATAGAAAACTTGCTGATTTTATATTATTTTTAAGAAACTGAGAGGGGGAGGGGCAGCAGAAGCCCATGCTACGGCACTGTCTCAAGTAAATCATAACGCGTAGTACAGATAGCGGCGCGAATCGTAAGCACCAAGTGACAGCACTTGCGCATGTACATTTTCCAGCCAATATACTACAGGCCAAAGTCACGTATATATCCAATGGATGACAAATATTAATTAACGGACTAATCAAGTGAAAGAATTTTCACCGTACCCACCCCGCACCGTTGTATTTCATTTAAAAGACCTACTCGTATATATCTACTATTGCGCATGTCAAAGCTGTGTTTACGACTCGTGCCGTAAACTTCTATACTACTACATTGCACATTAATTTTCGGTCAATTCTCCTTAAATTCTTCAGTCGACTGCGAGTGCTAGTTCTTTGTTTTGTAAACCGGAGTGTTTGTTTCCGACAATCCAACACTGACTTTATTTTATCGTGACTTAGAAAATACTGTTATCAATTTAAGTGCGTACTTTGCCAAAGTGACTTGAAGTATATTTCAGATGAGTATGTAACTTTGTTTCGTTATTTGCCTTTAAACAGTAACTGTAATAAATGAAAACACAACTGCGGGCGGAGCATATCCGCGCGATTTGAAATATAGTTTACGTTCTGAATTTGACGTTGTTACGCAAAACGGATCTAATCCACAAAAGGCTACTTTTGGAATATTGACATTTGAAGTGTGAAACAAACAAACAAGCTCAGAGAAAAAATCGCGGACGACTGTAATTGTCAGAAATAATTTATGGAGTCATTTGCAAAGCCCCGTGCAAAGTAAAGTAGCTTAGTGTGGGAGTAACGCAAGATTTTTTTTAAAAAAAACTTGTATCAGAGTTTAGTGATAGTGTTTAGTGATCTCTTTATTTATATTTTATGGAAGAATAGATACTGAGGGTTACTTTTGAATACGTAACTCATTTTTGAGCCGACTTTGGGTTGGATCTTTTTTGCTTAACTAAGTCCAATTGTCGGTGTAGTATATAACTCGTACGAATTAACTTGAGACCTGGGCCGATGACGTAATTGTCAATGTACGGTGTGCAAAATAATGCGTCGTAATATTTTTTTATTTGAAATTTTTGAGATTTGCATGAGATTATTAATAAAAACAAAATAAAATGTTCTGGCAAGGGGTGAAGTAATAAGTGATATACTGCTGCCATTTTTATATATTTTAAATATTTATTTTTTATAATATATATTAATATTATTTTTAGATAACGCGTCAAGGAAGGACAAAGAAATAAACATACACACTTTCTCATTTATAATATTATTAATTTATTTATTATACACTTTATTGCACTATAAAAAGTGTTACAGATTCGTACACAATAAAAATACAAAGCATAACAGGCGACCTTATTGCGAAAAAGCAATCTCTCCCAGGCAACCTTAGGGTGAAAGTGAATCAATCTTGGATAAGCGGAACAGCACAACCTATGTAAAATCAAGGAATAGAAGTAAGGAATATTAATAAGTATTTACTATAATATTTATTATTCATTGTCACTGTATACGATCGGTTCTATTCCGTCCATTAGATCGTCCTCACTTTCACTCTCTGAGCTGGATTCTTCCCCTCCGAGGGATAGAATTAATTCTCTCTGTTGGATTTCTCCAAGTCTATCACTCTCCCAGTATTCATTTTCTAATCTTTCGATATGGTTAATTTCTTTCTTCCAATCGGAAGCCGTTATAGACTGTATTGCGTCTCTTGTCAAACCCTTTATTTCCCTTTCAAACTGGTTAACATTTTTAGCTGCCACCCTTTGTTTTATTAAGTTCCATATATATTCGATAGGGTTCAAATCACAATGGTAGGGTGGCAGCCGTAATACCTCGTGTCCATGCTCCCTCATGAGTTCGTCCACTATATATTTTTTCGGTGGTTTATTGAGCAGTATTATATGGTACAGTTCCGGTTTCGTCATTTTTTCATCAAAAGGAATGTTGTTTTTCCGAAGCCAACTCTGCATCTCACCTTTCAGGGACGAGCTTACGGGTGGTTTTTCAGACTGCGTTGAGTGGTAGGGAGCATTGTCTATAACGACGAGACTGTTTTGAGGTAATTTTGGGATTAGTTTTTCTGTCAACCACTTTTACAAGGTTTCTTAGAGCACACAGATCAAAATTGTCGAGTTCAATTTTTTTGAGCTCTGTTTCCTTTTTTTCCTTAAGTTGATAGTTTAAGTTCTGGTCTTGCTTGAGAAGTACATGGTTCCGACACTACTGTGACATCATCAATTTGTTCTTGAGAAATTGACTGAACTTTTTTCGCCTCGTTTTTCATTCTTAGTAGTGTTGCCTTTGATATGCCTGTTGCTGCACAAGCCCTCTTTAAAGCTTGGTCCACAGGAATAAGAAACTTTTTATTTGATTTTTCATCTTCGAAAAATTTTAAAACTTTTAGAGCAAGTGTCCGTGCTTGGCTATGTATTGCCTTTCCTCCCATCTTTTTTTTAAAAATAAAAAAGGCGGAGTAACTCCTAAGCGTCACAAGAAAACGGCACAACACAACGTCCGAACTTAACAATAAAACAACGCAATTAACAACAAACAGATAAAATAACGTTCAAGTATAACAAAAACAAACAAAAGTCCAAACCAAACAACAAACAATTATCAAAAATATCGAACTAGAGTCGAGACGCGAATCCGTAACAAAAAATGCTATCGGTACTGAGCGCGCACGGCCAGCGCGGGACGCGGTGCGGGGAGTCGGGAAGGGGGTCGCATTCCAGCGGAGTCTCACGTTAAGTCGTACGTGTTGTACACTAGAAGTGTTCGTGCGCTATACTCTAATTATAATAGCATTAGGCAGAAGTTATAAAAGGTTCTTTATAAGACACATTTCGTAACATAAGTACAATAAACATTTTACAGTTAAGACTCATGCCTCATTTATTATAATTTATTTATACACGGACTGTCACACTTAAATTTAACTATTTACCCCCATGAAATTAAGTGGTTTTCATTTATATATACTCGTAGTACTTTATTTAAATTATCAATGTCACTATTAAAAACGTAAAAGAAGCTGAGGTGGACAATACCGGGAACATTTTTCATTTCATTATAATATTACTAATGTTAAAATATTTCCTTCTTGTTTTAATTATGCGGTTTATGGTCTCATCTGTCAAATTGAGTAAATAATTGCCATTTACTTGTGAACCGTAATTTTTCTAATATTTGTAATGGTTTTTTTAATTGTTATGTTACCTTTATTGCTATTGCTTATGAATTGTTGGTGCAAGTTTCACTAACACCTTCGTGTTATAAGTTGTTATTTGTAATAAATTTACGTTTTTCTCATATCTCGGTCCCCCTTCTTTATAATAAAATCCATTTTAATATTCCTATTTATGAACTATCAAAAACAAATGTAAGAAAGCCGTGTACTTTTTCCTACTGTTGCGGCAAACACTATTAAAACACCTAACACTGCTCTATAAACTCAATCTATTCATAGCTTTAACGAAAGTCTATATGAGAATTTACCAAACCAAATCATAGTGCGTTGTAAAATAGCACAGAGCCATATATCGAAAATTTTAAGAACAACATACGTGTAACACTAACTATATTTTGAACACCTACTAAACAAGAGTTATGAAAAGACAGAACAGTACTTATTAACAATAACTAATTCATATTATATTATTATAATTATATTATGAGCTCACACATACACACTCACGCACGCACGCACGGACGCACCCACTCACGCACGCACGCACGGACGCACGCACGCACGCACAATATCTGTAGTACTAAAAAGTTAAGAGCAATTTTTGCTTTTTGTTTTTTTAAGGGAGTAAGGGACTGCATCTCCTTAATACAGGCTATTTTATAGTCTAACAAGAAGAACATAACGTCACCCTGACTAGTGTTTTTACCTAATTTTATTGCAATATCATGTAAGATTTTTTTTTCTGTATGTGCTATAAGTTAAAGTTTAATAAATTATTAAAATTATTATTATATTAGTTAAAAAAAGATAAATATTTCCAGTAATTTTTTTGCATAGAATTATCATGAGATGAAAAAAAACATGAGTTAAGTAAGTTAAGTAGTTTCATTCATGTTGAAAACATGTAACATGTATTTAAGATTTCGTCATTTTTATTAAAAATTGTCATTTCGTTAGCCTAAGTATTTAGTACCTTCTGTCTTATAGACTATAACACCAATATTTACATAATTAAATGAAATTAATTTAAAATTATTTGAACTTAACTTAGAATTAAAATGTTTTGTACTCCTGCTTCTACGAGCTTCTTTTTTTTAATGTTATAATAAATTAAGTGTAGATACAAAAGTTGCGGGGCTTACTGTTCGGAGCAGGGGTGGTGCAGGGGACCTCCAGCTGCTTCACTACGTAAAACTGTCGGTGCAGTAGTATAGACAGAAGTGTTCGTGCGCTAGATACAAAAGTTGCGGGGCTTACTGTTCGGGCTCGAGGCAGGGGTGGTGCGTGAGCGAGAGCGCCTCACTCAGGCGGCGCACGCGGCCTGCAGCTGCTTCACTACGTCCAAATGTTGGTACAGTAGTATAGACAATAGTGTTAGTGCGCTAGATATAAAAGTTTCGAGGCGTACTGTTCGGGTTCGAGGCAGGGGTGGTGCGTGAGCGAGAGCGCCTCGCACAAGCGACGCGTGCGCCAGGCGGCGGCGCACGCGGCTCTAAGCCGCGCGCGCGCCCCGCCCAGCAGCGGCCCGCGCGCCATCGCCTCCAGTTCGCACGTCGCCACGCTCACCTGCCCGAGTTTTTTTCACAGACCTCGTTACATTTGCTTCTATAGTGGCATGACAACCAAATCGGGGGAAACAGTTTTCTGTTGCAGCTACATATCTATCATTTACATAAAAAAATTAATTACACCATTCGATAACTACTAAATAATATGTTACATTAAATGAGATTGCGGATGATACTACGGTAATTATTAAGTGTAAGTATAGAAAATTCTATGAAAGCGAAATATCTATTACACTCGACAAAATCTTTAGATGGCTCAAAAGTAACAATCTAAAAATGAACTTAAATAAAACCAAAATGATACAATTTAGAGATTATAGAACTCCACCTATTGGACTGAATATTTGTTATAACAATACAAAAATTGAAGATGTCCAATCTACTAAATTTTTAGAATTAATGGTTGACATGCACTGTGACTGGAAAACTCATATAGAGTATGTATGCGATAAACTTGAGAGATTTGTTTATGCTATAAAACAGCTACGGTTGACAGTGTCTACTGAAGCGGCGCTGAGCGCTTATTTCGGCTATGTCTTTTCAGTGCTTCATACGGCCTCTTGTTGTGAGCCAACTCGGTTGAGGTTGGCAAGGCCTTTCGTATTCAAAAGAAGTGTGTAAGGGCAATTTGAGGTGCTTGGTCTTTAGATAGTTGCAAGCCTTTATTTCACAAATTTCACATACTGCCGCTAGCTTGTATGTACACACGGGAACTTTGTGTTTTTGTCAAAAATCATCAACAATATTTCATCATTAACTCAAGTTTAGTCAGTAGAAGTGCCATGCCAAGAAATAAATTTAAGCTATATCTGCCTCAATGCAGACATGATATATATATAAAAGAAATGTATTTATAAATGTCATTAGAGTTTACAATAAATTGCCTAACACTTTCAAAGACCTATCTTTCGTTATTTTTAGAAGGAAACTCACAGAATGGCTGGAAACAAAATGTCTTTATAGTGTAGACGAATATATGACTTATAAATAAATCTACAATAATGGTAATAATGGAAAAACTGATTAATTTTTGTTCTTTTTTTTTTGTCATTTATCGTCGGTCGTCTGACGGTCGGAAGTCGGATCGACTAGCGACTAGCGACGTAGCGAGGCGAGGATAACCGAGCCGGCTACTTTCGCGCAGCCGAGGGCTTCCGAGGATTCCCGAACGATCGAGACGAGCACGTTCTTGTTCCTTTTGTGAAAAATCTTTACCCTTCATTTGAGTCACCCATTAAATTCTGATACAGGGCCCGTCAAAGGCACGCTACGCCAATGAATAGCAGTATATAAACTAAATTACACTAACCTTATGAGCATGCTGCCGGCTTGAGTAATATGGTGGTAAACCCTCTGCGTAAGATGCTTGCGCTATGGGTAGAACCTAAAAATAGTTTATACAGCATTAACATGTGACACAAATTTGGGAATGAAGATTAGTGAAATATAGATTGTTTTATTATAAAAATAAAGACGACAAATTAGCACATAGTCCACCTGAAGGTTAGTGGCTACTGAGATCCATAGACATTATTTCCTCCAGACTGAATTTCGGCCACGGCGGCCTGATGCAAAGGAGGCTAGCCATCGACACAGGACAGGATTATAGTGCCCAAGTGTATGCGCAAGCACAGGTGCACTCTCTATTCCCTCACTCTCATAATCCGATGGGACGGTAAACCGACACGACCGGAGAGAGATCAGGCGCAGGATCAACGGCTTTACGTGCTTTCCGAGGCACGGAGGTGAGACACCGCCAACTTTCTGACTCCGAGCAACTACTGAGAATTTCTTGAGGGAAAAACTCAATAATTAATTTTAAGGCCCGACCCGGGATTCTAACCCAGGACCTCGTGATCAGCAGTCGCACTACTACAACTACTAGACCAACGAGGCAGTCCATAGACTTAAAAATATATTTTCATTGAATAAGAATGAAAATGCAGGTGCCTTGGCCACCCCTGAGGACTAAGATAAAATGCTTTGTCACCATGCGAAACATAGCTGCTACCAATATACTGCTATTTTACATCGGTACTGCGTTTACCCATTCGTGTTGCAACCATGAAACAGGTGCAACGTGGGTCATATACAATGCATGCATAATAATAAAATCCGTACATCGTCAAACTCAATTATTTAAAGTATTAATAATAATGTCCTCTAGACCGAATTACGGTCACGGGGACCTGTCTCCACGGAGATTAGAAGGACGCATGACAGGATTATAGAGCCCGAATGTATGCACAGGTGCACTCTCTATTCCTTCACTCTCACAGACTGAAGGGATTGCGATCTGACACGACCAGAGGGATATCAAGCGCAGGACCAACGGCTTTATGTACTTTCCGATGCACGGGGGTGAAACACCACTAACTTCCTGTCTCTGGGCTGTTACTGGGAATTGCTTGACAGAAAACTCAATAACTAATTTTATTGGCCCGACCGGGATTCGATCATCATGATCATGGCAGTCAATTATTTAAAGTACACACTGCATTGTGTGGCGTACGAATACGCGTATGACTGTCATTTGTGCAAGCTCAAAGGCGTCTTTATTCACACGCGTATTAGTGCTGTGCTCGTCCTCGCATGCGTGTCACTGTCAAAATTAAATCTTTATTCTTTATTATGACCACATTGTACTATACTACACTACTACTGTATATAATTATCACTTTTTATCTATTGACCATTATTACCTTCATTAAAGAAGTATGTTAGGGCTAACTAAATGATAGGGTGAGAAATTGTGTGATAAAAGTATGGTTTGCAAGACTACGGTAAAATGTTAAATCCTTCAGTGGTTTTAACGTGTAAAAAAAAATTAATGAGGAAAGAGTGACAAAGCAAATTTATGTTGCAGAAGAGAGTGAGTACACAAGGGACATGGAAGTCTTTTGATCAAATCAGTGATACATTGAAGTTGAGCCAAATTAACAGTACCAAAGAACATTTATATGCGAAACAAGGGAGAGAGAGTTGTGTCAAGATCGTGGCAAAGAGAAGTCCGTAGTCTTTGTCTCCCTCTCTGGGTTATAGGTGTGAGAGTTTATGTTACGCTGCCGATAAGTCGTTCATTTTTATGTTAATTGTGCCTAGACATCTAAATAAAAGGCTTTTTCATCAGTGCGGTGATAAATTCTTCGGAAGGATTTTTTTTACATATTATATTATTTTGCGATTTATTACTACTTATAAATACACTATCCGCTAGTTAAAGTCAAAAGACGCCCATCGATGAGCGGAACCGCCCGTACAATGTGCCGGAACGTGTTGCGCACTCACTCGCACTCCTTACAAATTGAAATTTGTAGAGTATTTGTTTCGTGCGCCGCGGTTTTTAGTTACACTGCTGCGTGATGCGTCGCCACTGTGAATGTACATTCACAATTCAACGAAGTTAGCAAAGTTAAGTTTCTAGGATCGTTAACGCTAATAAAAAACCAGCAACATGAATGGGCATAACATGTCTATACGTTATTTTACGTGGATGTCACATGAATTAACGTTGATTACAATCGGAAGCAATAAGATATTTTTGACATATCCCATAGTCAGTGGCGAAGCTTCCATTAAAGCCGAAAAGCCGGGCTTGCCTTATTAAACCTGAATCAATCAATAATATCAACTAATAAAATAACTCGTAAAATGTTTCAAGCTATTTCAAATTTCCCGCGCACTCCACTGTTCGACACATGTCGACCGATGACCTCGTATTGCCTTAGCGATACTGCTGCTGTCATAAAAAATGAGTTTTAATAGAGCTAATAGTTGTCTCCCTCGCTCGCGTGTGCTTTTTACGGGGCTTTCGAGAAGACGATCGCTCTCTTTCTAACCTATGACAAAATATTCTATAATGAAATATAACTAGGATTGTATATATACCAATTAGTATAGAGATTTAAAGCCAGGCTTTTGGGAATAAATTTGTTAAAAGCGGAGGCGCGCGGGCAATACGTTTGCAAGTTCATTTCACGTTTCAATGTTTATTTACTCTGTGTGCTTATCTTAAGCGATTTAATATTACGAGTTCAAAATTTATGCTTTTTTAAAGATTTTTAATAAAAATGGAGGATAATAGTGTTCCTTGTGATGAATTGAAGTGTGTCAAAGTAATAATCGGAGAGGAAATCTTTAAACTTTGTTGAGATAATACACAAGGTTAAGAGTGTATTTCAGACCTTTATTAAAAACAGTTATTGGTACAATTAAAACGTTCACCAACATTTTACGTGGACGTAATTAAATCTTTCCATAAGAAAGCGAGACGATTCCACTTATCTTATCTTATCTCTTATCCATTAGAATGTAAATATTTTTTTTTAATTTTGTACATAGTTTGTTTGTACTTTGTTCGTGTTTTACTTTTGTTCATGTATTGTATTGGATGTAAACATTTTTTTTCTTTCGATTAAACAAACCCAAACGGCTTTCTTCAAAGCCACCGAAGCTATGCAATTGCTGATATGTAATACAATCTATCTAGCAGTGGTATGCCTTCTGTGTGCTTTGTTAAACACGTCCTTGACAGCACTGAATATGAAACTGAAGAGTGGAGACAGATCAAGATTGGTGTATTTTTATAAAACTGCTAAAAACAACAATCTATATTTTTATCAATTTATATCTTGGACTTGCCCTAGCTTGGAGCTCTAGCTTCGCCACTGTCCATAGTTACCTCTTACTACAATCACAGACAAAAACAGATTATCTTAAGCCACCACCACAATAATCCGTACGTATGTTTTGGACCGTACATCGTTGTGTACGAGTTTGGAGCGTTTATGTAATGAAGTTAGAAGTACTTATCAACGAAGCTGACCCGATCAGATCCGAAAATCAAAAATATGTTATTTTAATTACGACTTTACAAGTTCTTGGTGATCAGCTGAATTATAAACGTTCTGTCCTCACCTTAGCACACCTCGCCTGTGAGAAGCGCACGTCAGTGGCCAATGTGTCAAACAGTGCTCCGCTAGGTTCCTTTTCTTCAATGGGCTTCGAACTCTGTAGGTATACAGGCGTGAGCGCTTGCGCTGCCTTTCGCCATGTTGCAGCACTTGGCAACTGGAATAAAGATGTGATATGTCTAGGTTACGTAAATAAAGAGCAAGCAACTCGCAATAAATAATGTGGAAGGGAGATTATATACTTTTAGGCTTACACATGGTGAGAATTTTAATTCTATATGTGGTAGAGCCGGGCTGCAGCTATATTAGTAGTATAGTTGTAGCACGAATGGGTCGGCTCGACCGGGGAAGGACCACGCTCTCACAGAATACCAGCGTAAAATAGTAGTTTAACGCCGCTGTGTTTCGTAAGGTGAGTGTAGAGAACCGGAGACCCTTTTTACTGGAAACGAGGCATTACATCTTAGTCCTCTGGGGTGACAAAACGCATCTGCATTTTGATTCGTAATCGAGGATAGATGTAGATGTCTATGGGCCGCAGCAACCACTTACCATCAGGTGGACAGCAATCGTTTGTCTCCCTAGAGTCTGTCAGGGTATGTTCCATTTCGGGGGGTATAAAAAGCCAGTTTAAATACAGGCTGTGAGGTATTCCATCTTATTCTTCAAAAGTGATTGAATATCTGTACCTTTTTGTGTTTGAAGTTGGCTGCTGGTGTCTATGAACTACAATAAACACTTACGTAGACTATTTGTCACTTTAGTTTTATAGAAAAAATGCAGTTATTTATTTTTAAGTCTCACATTACTGAGTGAGTATTTGAACAGAAGATTTCAAATGTTGGCGGACCTCACATGCCCATGAAATATTAATTTAGAATAATTTATATTAGTTTAGATAAAATCCTAACGTAAATGTAACACCATTTCAAGGTTCTGTACTCAAAGGGTAACCAACAGGGCCCTATTACTAAGCGTCCTCTGTCTGTCCGTCCATTTGTCTGTCAGTGGGCTGTATCTCATTATCCATAATAGGTAGACAGTTGAAATTTTCACAGAATGTGTATTTCTGTTGCTGCTATAACAACAAATAAAAAAATGAAAACAAATTAAAAATAAAAGGGTGGTCCCCTACTAGAAACGTGTTTTACGATGGTACGGAACCCTTCATGTGCGAGTTCGACTAGCACTTGGCCGGTTATTTAAATTACTTTAGGAACCAAAAAATAGAATATTTTTTTGTAATAAGTAAAAATACATACCTCAAAGAAAGAAGTACTCATGGCATACTTCCCGACGTTGTCATCAAAGCCCTCTGTAAACGCTAAATCAATGTGTCCCTGCAGAAACTGTCGGAAGTTAGGCCTCTCGCTGGGAGGCTCGGGTTCTGCCCCTGTACATAACTGGACAAGCCCTCGGACTAGAAAACTGACGTCACGAGCGCAACCCACCTCTTCCTCCGTGTTTATGTAAACAAACTCTTCATTTTTGGGGATGGCAAACACCGACTTGGCACTGAAAATGAAAAAAGGTATTATTTGAAAAGGCAAAAATATGTGCCTGATATCCATATACAAAAACTCTTATTTCTGTTAAAAAAATACAACAAAAAGTATTTATTGCCAATTAAAAATGAAACTTTGTCTTGTGCGGAGTGTGGCGCCACTCACACTCACGCATTCTGCAGGCTGCGCCGTGTTTGTCACAATAGGTCAGCCGATTAGGATAAGATGCAGTCTTTTTTTGCATCCTACCCTTGGGGGCGGGTTCGCTTGCCACTGGACGACCTTGTTGCTGATTCTGTCGCCGATATGAAACTTCAGGGTATGGAACTTTTTACTCCATCCTCTGTGGTGCCCACCGGAGGCAGCTCCCAGCCATGGTTTGGTCGCTCCTATAAAATAGCATCACACTATAAGCAGAAGTGCTACCGGGTTTGGGCTGACACATCAACGTCTCGGGATGTAAACACCAGCGATTTTAAAAAGAAGTACAATTTCGCCTCCAGGTCCTTCAAAACAGTCATTGCCAAGGCAAGGTCTGAGCACATCGGCAGAATTGGCGGGAAGCTAGTTCGCCTTTCTTCGGGAACCCGTGCATTCTAGTCTCTTGCCAAGGCTGTCCAAGAGAACTCCTGTCAGCCATGTCTTCCATCTCTGTATCGAGAGGACGACTCACTGGCTTATGCCGTAAAGGAGAAAGCCGAACTGTTAGGCTCTCTGCTTGCGTCCAACTCGACTCTCGGTAACTGGGGGAACACATTGCCGACTATCCCGCGATATGAGTGATCCATGCTAGATGAGCGGTTTACATAGCGCTCGGTTCGCAAAGCACTCCTCACACTGGACGTCAGCAAGTCGAGGTGGCTGGAGTTCCTGTGCTGTGTGAGCTGAAGACGTGTACTCCAGAGTTGGCACCGGTTTTAACGCTTTTTATCCGGTACTCCTACTCCCAAGGCGTAGTCCCGAATTCATGGAAGACAGCTTTGGTCCACACGATTCCTAAAAAAGGCGACCACTCAGACCCGTCCAACTACAGGCTTATCACCATCATCTCCATGTTCTCCAAAATAATGAAATCCAATATAAACAGCCAGCTCGTGCGGTATCTTGAGGATCACCAACTGATTGGTGACTGCCAATACGGGTTTCGTCGGGTCGATTAGCTGGTGATCTTCTGGTCTACCTGACTTATAGATGGGCGGAAGCAGTAAAGGCCAAGGGGGAGGCATTCGCAGTTAGTTTGGATATAGCGAAGGCCTTGGATGGGGACCAGGTTCCTTTGCTATGGGCTTGCCGAGAAATTGTGCAATTAGATCACCAGTTTCCTTGCTGATCGGAGCATGATGGTCGTAGAAGACATTGCATGCTCTGATTGCAAGCCTATTAACGCTGCTGTTCCACAACGCTGCGTGCTATCACCAACGCTGTTTTTTCTACATATCAATGGTATATTGCACACTGGTAACCTTCATTGCTATTCAGTGACGAGAGCACTGGTGATGCCTCGCATACCGGCTGTGCCAATATTTCTCGGGAAAACGTCGCCGAGTACCGGGACAAACTTGTGTCTGAAGTCGAGACTTTGTTGAACAAAGTCTCAGACTGGGGGAGTCTAAATCTAGTCCAGTTTAATCCCCAGAAGACACAAGTTTGCGCGTTTACCGCTAAAAAGAACCCCTTTGTTGAATCTCCTCAGTTTCAAAGCACTCCCCGTGTTGCTTCAGCCAGTATCGGAATCCTCAGCATCGACATATCGAGTGACGTGCAGTTTCGTGGTCACTTGGAAGAGAAGGCCAAATTGGCCTCTAAAAAGCTTGGAGTGTTCAGCAGAGCGGGACAGTATTTCATGCCGGTTTACCGCCTGCAACTTTACAAGGCGCAGGTTCGGCCGCACATGGAATACTGTTCCCATCTCTGGGCTGGGGCTCTCCAGTGCCAGCTCCTTCTATTTGATCGCACTCAGCGCAGATCTCTTTCCGATCGGCTTGACTCACTGGCACAGCGAAGAGATGTTGCATCTCTTTGCGTATTTTATCGCATCTACCATGGGGAGTGCTCCGAGGAATTGTTCGGACCAATTCCAGCCGCACAATTTCACCATCGCACATTGCGACAAAACTCGCGATACCATGCATACCATCTGGATGACTGGCGGTCCACCACTATGCGATTTAAAAGAAGTTTTCTTCCTCGCACAAATTCCTTGTGGAATGTCAACAATGTCAACTACCACGAGAGATTTTTCCGGACCGATACGACTTAGGGACCTTCAAGAAAAGAGCTTACTCCTTTTTAAAATGCCGGAAACGCATCTGCAATTCCCCTGGTGTTGCAGTTGTTCATGGGCGGTGGTATTCACTTTCCATCAGGTGAGCCGTATGCTTGTTTGGCTCCCTCTTCTATAAATAAAAAAAATCCCCGGTTGGGGTAAAATTGGGTTATTCAGTCAAAAAAATCGCGGTGAAAATCTAGAGTCGGTGAGTTGGCAGTGTTTCACCCCCGTACCTCTAAAAGCGCGTAAAGCCGTAAGTGCTGCGTCTGATCTATTCCCGTTCGCGTTAGATAGCCATCCCATCAGACTATGAGGTTGAGGGAAATAGAGGTGCGCAAGCACAGGTGCACTTCACTATTTTCATACTCTTAATACTGTTCTGCGTTTCCGCTGGCGGCGAGACTGGCCCCCGTGTGACCAAAATTTAGGAATTTTGGAGGACATAAAAGAACATTATCCAAATACCATCGCGTGGACTGTGTACCCATTTGTTATCCCTACTCCCAATGAAAAAAGTTTTGAGAATGAACATTACGAGTTTTCAAGAAACAAAAACAAATTAACTAACCAAACATTAGTGATAATCCTGGTCTTTCTTAGCATAAAATACAACTGGTCTTCAACAGCGTGTTCAAGTCGTTTTAATGCAGCGGGAGCCTTGCGTAGAGGTGTTGGCGCCCTACGGAAGTGGAAAAGCAGGCGCGGGCAACACGGCCTGCCATGGGTCTCCCAGTTGCCCCCGACATTGGCTTCTATTAAGGCAGCTTTGGTCTGAGCTGCTAATTCATTTCTGTTAAAAAACATTTTTGTTCTAAGATTTTGTCTTATGTTTACGCAAACACTACATATTTAAATAAAACTTTTACGGATTTTATCGTGTAAATTAACTTATTTGTTGGGTTTGGATTTAATTTTATTATTTGTAGGTTTCCAAAGAGATGGTGTTCGGTTTACACCGAACACATTTTGTACGCGTCGGCATTTAACATTAAACTTTGTATTTTTAGCCAGTATTTGTATTTTTAACATTGTAAACATTTTAACAATAAATATTTTTTAAACATTTAAACAATTATATTTTAACATTAACATCAAAAGGTGTTGAATACCACAACATCTTTTTGGTCCTTCGAAAGTGAAGTGTGAGTGTGATTTTTCGGTGATAGCGAATCGGTTTGTCTGGCCTCCCAGAAGCGGGTCTCACCAGGCAGATTGAGAAGGCGCATATATCGCTGGAAGTTCATCGTCACACGGACCGCAAACAGGAATAAATCAGTTCACTTAACACCTATCGAATACCTTTTAACTACAACACCATGGAAGACTTACAAGCAAATCAACAACAGATGGTTTCTGGTATGGAGCAGCTGCTCAGCAACTTCAAGAAGGACGGCGCCGACCGTAGGACTGCTGCTCATATCAAAAAACGACTGGACACTTTGGATACTTACTGGCAGGAATTTCATAAACTTCACCTCCAGGTACGTGAGTTGTGTGATGAAAACAATTCCTATATTGTGCAGAATCAATACGGACAAGTCCTTGATTTTTATACAAAAACAAAAGATTACATACAAAGTTTCTTACCAACTGAAGAAAAATCAAAACCCTCTACTCCGATCACTAAACCAGCAACTTTCAACCCCCCGCCGTCCACGTCGTCAGCAACACCTCGACAAGTGGACCGCAGTTCTAACAGCAGGCTGGATGAGATGTTGCGTAAACAAAGTAGCAACTTTAGAGCTTTTAAGCGAACTTTAACAAACATTGACTTAGATTTGTTAACCGAAAACTGGGAATTAGGAGATGCTCTGAAGACCTTGAATGTTAGATGGAACGCTATCGACTCTCTCCATTGGGAGATCGACAGCGAGCTGGATGGTACTAACGTAACATACGAACAAGAATTTTCCATCCATGAGAGAAGCTTTAGTGACATAAAGAAGGCGATCAACAAGAAAATATGGTCGACAGCTCATCAAGAAAAATCTACACCGAAGCTTGATATTCCTATCTTCAACGGGAATTATCATCAATGGGTTCCGTTCAAAGATTTATTTACGGAATGCATTCATAACAATCGCTTCCCTTTCCAGTGCTCAAAAAATGCAATTCTTAAAGAGCAAAGTCAGGGGAGAAGCGGAGCGGCTGATACAACACCTACAGATAAGCTCGGATAATTATATTATCTATTGGAACATTTTAAACAACCGATACAATAACCCGAAACTTATATTCACTTCTCATATGAATCTACTAATGAGTTTGCCAGTTTCACAACAAGCTTCCGTCACCAATATGAAGAAAATACACGACACTACGCTGGAATGTTTAAATGCAATAAAAAACCTAGGAATTGACATAACCACCTGGGATCCAATTATTGTTTACCTGTTGACTCAAAAACTCGATAACGAAACTCATCATGATTATGTTCAATCTTTGAAATGTCCCCGGGAACTGCCAAAATTACAAGATTTTCTCGAGTTTTTGGAACAAACATTTACGTCGATGGAGTCTGAACGTAAAAAACAAGACAACACTCATCAAAAATCGCACATTTCAAGTAATCAAAATCAGTATCTGTAAAACTCCAAAATCGAATTATTTCAAGCAATCATACGCAAGTAATCGACTAACAACCCAGCATCCATCCAACACCTCGTCGAGCGGTGAGGTGTCACCTAACTTACAAGCTGCTAAAAACAAGAATTTCATAACATATACATGCCCACTCTGCAGTAAGGATCATGGACTATTCTTTTGTCAAGAATTTTTGGACATGTCTCCTCAAACAAGACGCAAAACAGTAACAAAATTAAATGTTTGCAAAAACTGTCTTTTTAGTCACCAAGGTAAAGCATGCATTTCCGAGAAGCGGTGTCGTGAATGCAACGATAATCATAACACCTTGTTACATGACGCCTTCATGCCATATTCAAACAAGCCACAAAACAATGCGAATATCAAAAACAAGTCGTCGATGTCGTCAGAAGCGGAAAATAATCGCGTCAGCACAAGTAACTCGAATGTTACTCAACAAAACAACGATATGACGGAAATTTTATTAGCGACAGCGATGCTCAAAGTGCGGGCCGCAGATGGTACTTATAAAATCAGGCGCACCCTTATTGATCAGGGTTCACAAGTCTCGATAATATCTGAGAATGCAGCCCAGCGACTAGCACTTCCTAGACGAAACTGCAAAGGTAGTACTTTTGGAGTTGGTGTTAAACCTAATAGCTGTAAAGGAGTACTTGACTTAACATGCTCATCAATGGACGACTACTACGTCTTTGACACGTCATTATTTATCATGCAAAATCTCATCAAACAATTACCAAATTCAACGTTTGCTAAACCTTCGTGGTATTTCTTGAACAATATACAACTAGCTGACCCCGACTTCAACATAAGGAGACCGGTGGATCTTCTTCTGGGTGCTGACATATATTCAAACATTATATTACCTGGAATATGCAGAGAAGATCAATCTGTGCCGATTGCCCAACAGACTCGGCTCGGCTGGAATTTTGTGTGGAAGTACAAAAACATACCAATGCAATGTAATTTTGAGCAACATAGAGTAAATAGAAAAATTTTGGGAAACAGAGGACATTACTGAACATTCAACTTATCGGCAGAAGACCTTCAATGTATACAATACCATGAGGAAACAACAAAGCGACTCAGTGATGGTAGATACCAGGTCAGACTCCCACTAAAACCGGGATATGAAAAACAATTAGGCTCGTCTAAAAATAAGGCCATCGCACAATTTCTTAGTATGGAAAGAAAGTTTGGAAACAACAACAGTTTTGGCCAAAATTACAAAGCCTTCATTCACGAATACCTAGCGCTTGGACATTTGAAACCCGCCGATTCAGTGGGTCGACTAGAATGTTATTTACCACACCACGGTGCAGAACGACCGGAATCCACAACTTCAGCTTTGCGGGTAGTGTTCAGTGGCTCATGCAAGACTGTTCCTCATGATGCATGATGCTGGTCCAAACTTACAAAAGGACCTTCAGGAACTGTTGATCAAGTGGCGACAGTTTGAGATAGTATTTACGGCAGACATAGAAAAGATGTTTCGCCAAATATGGATCCATCAAGACGACCAGCTTCTCCAAAAAATAATATGGAGAGATTGTTCAAGTTCTGCATTACATGACTTTCAGCTATGCACAGTCACCTATGGCAGTAAAGCTACCCCATTTTTGGCCATGATGACGCTTAAATGATTAGCAAACGATGAACGAAGGAATGATTACTCCACCGCTGCGCTCCAGGCCCTAGAAGAAGCCATGTATATGGACGATCTTCTTTATGGTGCCCATTTTATGACGTCAGCAATGGAATTACAACAAGAGCTGATTCGCCTGCTTCAGTCAGGAGGATTCAACTTAAGAAAATGGAATTACAACAAAGAGGAACTACTCAACATCAACAAAAACCAGGACAACAAAAATTTTGATTTTAAACATGCACATTCACCGAAAACACTTGGACTTATTAAGCAAGATGTTGTTTCACATTCCAATTGAAAATCAGTGACTCAGAGAAGATATGTGCAAAGCGAAGTCTTTTGTCAGAAATTTCGAAACAGTTCGATCCAATTGGCCTGATTGCTCCTATAACACTGAAATTAAAAGTTCTCTTCCAAAAGGTGTGGCAGCTAAATCTTCAGTGGGATGACGAACTATCCGTGGAAATCCAAGTAGAATGGATAACCATGAAACATGATATCAAAATGATTGATCAATTACAAATACCTAGATGGTTGGGAACAAAAGAATTCGTCGGAGAGAGCATTCTGCTGCGCCATATATTGCAGAACAAACAAGGATCATCATTCAATGGTGGTGTTAGTTGCCGCTAAAACCCGACTAGTACCTATCAAAAAGCCCATCACTATACCAAGGCTCGAATTAAATGCCGCGGTTTTATTATCAAAACTGATGAACAAGGTTGTCAACTGCCTAAGTACATACAACATACAAATCTTTGGTTGGTGTGACTCAACTGCTGTACTAGGCTGGTTACACGGAGACGCTGCACGATGGAAGCCGTTCGTGGCGAACAGGGTCAAACAAGTGATCACCACTATGCCCCCTGCCTGTTGGCGCTTTGTGAAGTCAGAAGACAATCCAGCAGACTGCGCCAGCAGGGGCTTAACAACAGCACAACTAAAGGACCACCCCCTTTGGTGGCAAGGGCCCTCTTGGCTACTTACATATAAACAAGATATAGAAAACAAAAAGAGAAGAAATTAACATTTTACAGCAACTAATAGAAAAACAAAGCTCATTTACACGCTTAGTAAGAATATTGGCATGGATTATACGAGTCAAAAAAAATAAAACTAAACAGAGGCAGCCCTACCTAACATTATCAGAGTTCAAACAGCGACTAATCTATTAATAAAACATGTGCAATCAGCTGAATTCAAAGACTATATGAATAGCATTATGCAAAATAAAAAAGTACCGAAAAAGAGCGCATTATCAAAGTTGAATCCATTCATAGACGGAAATGGCATCTTAAGAGTAGATGGCAGATTAGAATTCGCTAATATCACATATAACATGAAATATCCAATAATTTTGCCGAACAAAAACCGTTTTACACAATTACTGATTGAGAGCGCGCATAAGATTACATTTGACGGCGGCGCGCGATTGACGTCAGCGTTCATTCGACAGAACTACTGGATTGTTGGCGGGAATCGAACAATTAAAAGGTTATTAAGAACCTGTGTAACCTGCCGTCGTCACGCTCCCAGCACACAACCACAGACCATGGGTGGTATGCCTGAAGCCAGGACAAACCCCTCCCCCCGTCCTTTTTATCATACTGGAGTTGACTACACTGGCTGGACGTCAAGGCAAGCAAGGGTCGAGGCATAAAAACAAACAAGGGCTATGTGGCTGTATTCGTGTGCATGGCTACAAAGGCCGTGCACCTCGAACTCGTGTCTGGCCTCACGTCGTCAGCATTTTTGGCCGCACTGTGTCGTATGGCAGCTCGTCGAGGCGCGCCGCGTCACATATATTGCGACAACGGCACTAACTTCGTCGGTGCCAGCCGTGTTCTGGGACAAAACATAAAGCTGATTAAAGAAAATATTTCTGATCCAGAATTATTTACTGAACTTACCAAAATGGAGATCGAATTCCACTTCAACGCTCCGTCTTGGCAGTCAGCGGGAGGACTCAGGGAGGCTGCGGTCAAGAGCCTTAAATATCACATCAAATGTGTTATCGGAGAACAAAAATTAACATTCGAAGAGTACTCAACGATACTTACTCAGCTAGAAGTGTGTCTTAATACTAGGCCGCTGTGTGCTTTGACTGAGGATGTGGAGGACCTCGACTTCCTGACACCTTCGCATTTCTTAACTAGAACGGCTGATGTAACCATCCTGGAAACAGAACATGACGCGCGAACAAGATGGAACTTACCAGAAAAACTAATGGCTGATATATGGAAGGGCTGGAAATCGGAATACCTCACACAACTTACCGTTCGAAACAAATGGAAGCAGTCGACATCTAACATTCAAGTCGGTCAATTAGTGACAATTCAAGACGATAACTTACCTGCTAGAAAATGGTTGACAGGTCGAGTCATAGATTTACACCCAGGAAAAGATGGTTTCGTTCGAGTTGTCTCCTTAAAAACAAAACACTGAATTTTAAAACGGCCAGTTACCAAATTATCCTGCGAGGAAACCAGGAACCTGAAATCAGAAAAAACAAGATAACAGCTAAATCAAGCCTGATATCAATTTGTTCTGCATTGCTATTTTTCTTGAGTATAATCGTACCTACGCATGGTGCTTATACTATTCAGCAACATATAAAAAAGATGTTAAATCTTTGTATTTCGACGCCATTTCCAACATCCAACTTATTCGAGACGACTGGAAGCTCATAATTTACTACAACATGCAACCATTTTGGGAAGGCTCCGAAGCACTTGACAAATATCAAAAACACATGGAAAACATATGTGAAACAATGAAGGGCGACAGTCACTGTGTGCGAACAGTCTCTTCGGAGTACTCGACGACCATTTCGCAGAAAAGTATGAGCGAGATTCCACACTTGTCAGACAGAAGGAACACCATTAATTTTTTTAAAAAAATTTCTTCAAGTGAAAACAAGGTTTTTATGATAAGTTACTTGATTTTTGAAATAAGATTACCCTTAGTCAGCCGAGATGATTACTACCTGTACCGAGTCATACCGATTACTCATAAACGGACAAACAATTTTGTGAACATTAAACCGATTGCAGATTACATTTAGCAATTAATTTAGAAAAACATAACATTCCATGACATACATCATTACGCCGCGATTTACATCCTGGTGGGAGTGGTTGCGATAGCAGCTATATGCCTTGCCTGTAAACGACTACGGCAAAGAAGAAACACGGCCATCACTTCAACTATGAGCCTCGATAACATAACTACGGAAGGTCTAAGCTCCGCTCCTGTAGCTGCGTGGGCCGCCCCGAGAGCGCAGCAGGCCGCGCTGCAGAGCCCGACCCGAGAACGCAACACGTTGCCGCCAGCGCCGTGTGTGCGTCCACACCTGCGCTCCCGAACACATTCAACACTCAAGACCGAGCAACTTCGCCTATATTGCGAACCCTCATTCTTAAACGCGATGCAGAATAACGGTTTACACCGAACACATTTTGTACGCGTCGGCATTTAACATTAAACTTTGTATTTTTAGCCAGTACAAGTACGGACGCCAACAAAGTCTCGTGTGCGTACTCCTGACATTATAAACATTTTAACAATAAATATTTTTTAAACATTTAAACAATTATATTTTAACATTAACATCAAAAGGTGTTGAATACCACAACAGATGGTACCCAGCTATCTTCTCTTTTTGAAATTTAGTTGTTTTTTTATTAATTTCAATAGTTTCATTAATCATCCTTGGTAGGAATTGGTGTTCCTTTTCAAGGATGTGTGGTCTATCAAATCTAATGTGATCTTGAACATATTCACAGACTGCGCTTCCTGAAGGTTCGGGAGTTAAAAAATAAATTATTAAATGTGATAAAATCTGTTTTATTAAATGTCAAGTATTCATGTATATTTACATGAATACTTGACATTTAATAAATCATTGTAAGCCACTGATAATGCAATAAAAGGTATTATAAAACTATTAAAAACTATGTCTCGTGAACTACCTGTCCAGGTGTAACTTAAAACCTACAGCTACTTATATGCTTTAAATTTGGCATTTGAAAAGTTTACCATTGTATGGCCCAGTTCAAGAAAGCTCTAAGTCCTTTTTTTCTATTTTGACTTTTTTCGCAAGTAAACATTTATTTTTTTTTATTAAAAATAATGTGTAATAATCTAAAATATTAATTTTTTTATAGCATTGGGTAACAAGGAGCACACAGTACTTGATGGTAAGTGAATGCTGTGGCCCATAGACATCCACATTTATCCTCAATTAAGAATCAAAATGTAAATGCATTGTCACCCCTGAGGATTAAGATGGAATGCCTCGATTCCATTAAAAAGGGTCTTTGGTTCTCTACACTCACCATACGAAATACAGCAGCATTATGCTGCTATTTTATGCTGGTATTCTGTGAAAGCGTGGTCCTGCCCCAGTCGCGCCGACCCATTCATGCTACAACTATAATATAGCTGCAGCATGGCTCTACCAAGTAAAAAATTAAAAATATTTTAAATTATCACTCATTATTTTTATAGACTTCATGATGTGGGCCATTCAATTTAATAAGTTATTAATTATTATGCAGTTCCTAGCAACTCCAGCAATATATTTTAGAATAAATTTGTAACAAGCTTCTAATCTCCACAACTAGACGTGTACTTAAATAAGACTAAGTTTTACAGATTCTATCGCATATACTAAATTATTTTAAGTTTCCGAGGTTTCGAGCACTTTACAGCAACCATGATCATAAGGGGGACTGAGGTGTTAGCTGTAGTTAACTATGACATTGAGATGTCGACGTCAACAAAGTTAATATACCCAGTAAAATCTGTAATTTTGGTTTCATTTAAATGTAGTGTTTGCATAAATTTAAGAAATCATAAGACATCTATTTTTAAGGTATTCACAAAAGTAACTTCAAAAACATTAAAAGGAATATTCATTTCAAATTCTAAAACTGATTGAGCATCAAATTACCTGTAGCCATCAATAGCTTCAAAAATCTGTAAGTAGCCCAGATCAAACACAGGTGTTGGCAGAGAGAGCACAACAATGTGACATAAGTGGAACATTAATGCCATCAATCTGCATGACTCTATTGCTAGCTCTCCTGCTGCCACCAACCAATGTGCTGCATCAGCATCTTTAACTGTGCTCTTCGAATTCTCGTCTAGATCGGCCACCAGTGAGGTCAGTTGTCTCGTATCCAGATATGTGATGGCATGCAGGAATAAAATACTCCTTCGTTCATCCCAATGACATTCAATACCATTCTGTAATATTGGTGTTAAAATAATGAAGATGTCACTGCTATAATTTAAAGGACAAAGAGAGGAAGAGAAACAATGAGATAGAAATGCTCAAATTTATGTGTTTTTGAATGGTTGTCTAAAAAAATAAACAGCAAAAATGACAGCTATAATGAGCTTCCAACATCCAATTCAATATCAATTACAGCCTACAAAAGTCCACGGATGAACATAGGTCATATATGTGCTAAACCCACGCTGTAGCTATATTATGGTTGTAGCACAAATAGGTTGGCTCGACAAGGGTAAGACCACATTCTCACTGAATACCAGCATAAAATAGCATCTTAATGCTGTTGCATTTCATATGGTGAGTATAGAAAACCAAAGACCCCTTTTAATGGAAATGAGACATTCCATCTAAATCTTCATGGGTGACAATGCCTACATTTTGATTCTAAATTGAGGATAGAGGTGCATGTCTATGGGATACAGCACTAGTTATGTGCTTGTTTGTCACCCTCATTCAATTAAAAAGAAATTAAATACATGTGGAAAAATAAAAAAATTGTACAAACAACTTCAATATAAATAAAAAGAGAACATCATCAGTGTAGTTGAAGTGAAATAAATAATCATTATTAAGTTTAACTCAAAAACTATTGGTCAGATCTTGATCAAATTTATATGGGACCACATGAGAAGCACCAGCTTTGAAATAAAAAAAGAATCAATGAAATCGGTTTACCTAGAAAAAAGTTCTGAGCTAACACACATAAAAATAAAAAAACATAGTCGAATTGAGAACCTCCTTTTTATAAGTCGGTTTAAAACAGGTCTCCTCCATAGATTGCCTCATAAGGGAAATTTCACCAAAGTTGGCACACCTGGCGGTAGATGGCAACTGCAGTAATATTTTTGAATTTTTATCAAAAAGATCCTGCTGCCCATCCCTTGTTTCGGTTTCCCTCTGTCGCTTCTTACGACAACCACAGGACGATACAGAGTAGTGGATATTCTTACTCCGCTACTACACAGTTATGGACTTATGAATATATTGTTTGATAATACTTACTTCTTCACATTTAATACTTGGCAAAAGTGGAGTAGCTTTATTAGGATAACGATAAGGTGATTTTCCAATTACACCAATTACTACAATTCGTTCTTTTTTGGAGAAATCTGGAATATCTTTTATCGTGAAAACATTCATTATCGCACAAAATTTTAACCTTTCAGTATATAAATAAAGCTAAGTAAAATCAAAGACGAGATAAACTATTGCATTTTTATTACAGAGCTTAAAAGCTATTAAGCTTTTAGTAAATTGAAAATGTATGTAAACAATAAATATTTATTTGTTATTTATTAATTATATACAAAAAAGTTTTTTTAATGTTGGAAAGCGATAACTAGTGTTGCCATCACTTTTTAAAGTAGAGGTGGGTGATTTACTAACTCTTTGGGTGGGCGATGCAAACCGTATACTTATACGAAATCTAAATATTGGTACAATATCTAAAAAACGCTTACGGGTTCGTTCCAAAACCATGTATTACAAAATCTGATATTTGCGTACCGCCGCGATGCCCATAACGCTTCGCATCGGTCGGTCGCTAGATTCGTTTCATAACTATATATTATACAAAATCTGATATACCGCCGCGATACCTATATTGCTCCGCATCGCTCGGTGGCTAGATTCACCGTATGCGACAGTGCGCGAGTATATGGGTATTAGATTAGACATGTCGGAAAATTAAAATCTTATATTTGTACACTACACTAATTAATAAAATCACAATTTCCCTAAGTCTTAATTAACTTCCCTAGTATTTATTTTTCCAGCTTTTTAAATAAATCTCTTAAAGCATTTTGATACAAATGTAAAATAAATAATATTAAACTGATGCGCTTCGTTTAAATTACTACAAAACAATATCTAAGCCAATATCGTAACAACAAAGAACCTATAAATTTAATATCAACCACCAATGAATTAAGTCAAAAGCGTTTTCAACATATCAAAAGATTTAACGGCAAATGATTTATTTTTATGATAATACCACAAGTTCAGTATTAAATATTGTATATAAGTTTAACTTTAAGTATAGCAAATAATTGTTACAATCCATATATTTAGACATGTGAAACCTAAATTTTAATGAAATAAATCAAAAGAATACATGCTTGTATTGATGTTTTAAAAAAATACTTTCTTTGGAAAACTGCTCTGTAAACCGCCGTCTACTCCATTCTAAAGTCATTTTATAGAACGAAAATTGATGGGCTCTCAAGGTGATGAAGATGACGCTAGATGACATAAATACGGCTAGGTAAGAAGTCGATTGTGTATGATTTTGAATCGCAATCTTATATACGATTTCAACAGTGTATCGAAGTAGAAAACAGTATAAACGCGTACGCAAAATATCTATATAGTTTTGATATCAGATATTGAAACTCAAAATCTGATATAGATACGATTCTCAGAAAACGCGATACGACCCAGGCCTACTTTAAAGAAAACGCGCACAGAGTAATTTTTGTATACCCGAAAGCGCGCTGAATTGACTTCAAAAACGCGCTAGATTTTAATATTTTTCAAAAAAAGGCGCTAAATTATAAAATAAAATCCCACTACTGTCGGCCGCAGGCAGACGCGACGGCAACAACAAAGAAAAGGACACACGACACACGTGTTCCATTTCCGTCTCTACTGAATTGTTTTCAACATAGCGATTTATTTAGCAACTACTAATTTTGTATTTAGTGTTCAGTCACAGTTAGAATGTTAAGGTCCAGCGAGTTCATTTAATTAACTGCTAAGTGCTAACTGCTGAATTTGGAAATAGTCTATTATAATACTTAACTAGTGTTAAATAAAGACTGATTTTCGTTACGAAGGTTTACGCGAGTTTATTATCTAGGTTTAGTGTTGTGAGTGAAAATTCCAATTGTTTGACTGTTTGTGTAGTGTTGTTTGCGTTTGAAACAGAATACTTACAAATTGGAAGAAAACAACTAAAATGGATATACAACGCCAAAAAAAGTGAAATATGGAACTTTTTTACGAATAGCGATACCGTAAAAAAATTGATACGTGTAATTTGTGTAAAAAAAACTATTTCATACAAGAGCTCAGTTTCAAATTTAAAATCTCACATGAAGTTTAAGCATCCTACTAATAATATCCAACAGGTACAACAACAAAGTGCTTGTACATTATCTGAGTCTGAGTGTTCCGTTAGTTCTCAACAGACTGTTCCTATTACTGAAAATGCCCAGTACTTCAAGTTCTTCGGGTACTAATAATGAGTTTTTGCCGCCACCAGCAAAGCGGAGAAAAATTCAACCAAGTGTATTAACTTATGCCGTAAAAAATGAGAATAGAGAAACAACGACTCAATTATTATTTAATGCAGCTTTTCATACTTGACTTTTAACCATTTTCAATTGTAGAAGAAGTTTGCTTTATCCAAAACTCAAATGCCTTAAATTCGTCATACACGCTTCCATCTAGAAAATATCTATCAAATACACTTTTACCAACAATGTACGAACAGTGTAGAACAGAGGTGCAAGAAGTAATAAATAAAGAAGTCGAAACAATCTGCATTACGACTGACTATTGGACTTCAGCGAGAAGTGATAGTTTTATGGCTGTTACTGGGCATTTTATAAATAAAAAATTTGATTTGGAATCGATTGTTTTGTTCTGTGAAGTCATTTCGGGTCCTTCCAATAGTGAAAATACAGCATCTCAGTTAAAAGTATTACCGATTCTTGGGGTATTTCAGCTAAAATCAAACGCGGCTTACATCAAGAAAGCCATATCAGCCAGGTGCTAGGGTGGAAACATTTCGGATGTGCAGCACACACAATAAATTTGATAGTGCAAGAAGCGACGGAAAAATCTGTACCCCTCAAGTCTGTGATGGAACGTGTGAAGCTCATTGTCACTTATTTCAAGCGAAGCACTAAAGCCACTCAAAAACTTGATGAGTTTCAAAAGCAAAATGGAGCAACACAGCCAAAACGACTGCTTCAAGAAGTCCTGACGAGGTGGAATTCCAAATTCTCCATGCTCGAAGGGATCGTAGAAATTCAAGATGCCGTCAAGTCATCCATTGCCATTTTGGGTGTTCTAAGCTTACCAAATTTAATGCCGGAAGACTGGTTACTTTGCAACGAAACTTGTAAAGTCCTGAAATGTTTTGAAGAAGCATCAAATTATGTGAGTGGTGAAAAGTATTTGACGGCCAGTCAACTATTAATAATCATAAAAGGTACAAAGAAAGTTCTCAGCGATATTTTAAGCTCTGATTCTTCCGGTTATCACTATCTGCCAATAAATGATTTTGTTCGAGCTTTGTTAGATATAACTCATAGTCGTTTCGAAAATATAGAAAATAGTAACACGATTAGGGTAGCTACTTTTTTGGATCCCCGCTTTAAGTTACAGACCTTTACATCTCAAAGCAAGCAACTTGAGGGAGAACATGATAAACTTAGAAATAGATCGAGAAGGACCATGTGAAGTTAGCAAAAGTTCGCTTGATCCCACCTCAATATTTTACAACTGGGATGCTAGGTAGGCTGTACCGCAATCAACTGAGTCACCAACTGTACGAGCAATAATAGAAATAGACAAATATTTGAATGAAAAAGTGATTAGTCGCAATAATTTACCGTTGAGCTGGTGGAAGCAGAACCAAGGCATTTTTCCACATTTGGCTAAGTTGGTTCGAAACAAATGTAATGTACTTTATACTTCTGTTTCTTGCGAAAGACTTTTTCGCGAACTGGTTACATAATTTCACAACGAAGAACTCGCCTTGGAGTCCGAAAAGTCAAACAATTATCCTTTTTGAATGGAAATAATAAATATATAAAATTTTAAGATATGTTATGTTACTAAGTGATAAGTAGATATAAGAAAAAAACAAAAGATAAAAAAACAAGAAAAAAAGATTATTATATAAAAATTACGAATACTAAAAAAACAGATATGAAAAAAAAAGAAATCGTTGTAAATAAATTGATTCTCATTATAAATACGCCAACTGAAAAAGTTGACAGTCCTAAGCCTGTGAAAATATGAAGGAAATGAGAATTAGTTATGTGTTAAAAATCTGTCTGTGACTAAATTTAACAGTTGCTAAAAATAACTGCTAATTTTAACTGTTAATTATTTTTAGCATTAGCATTTAAGCCCATCTTTAATTATGGTGCTGAGTCTAATAATCTTCAACATTATTTATTATTAATATGTCGATAGAATGTTGTCCAATAATACATATTTTTATTTTATGTGGCTTTGGATGCTTTTTTTTATTTATTTTGAATAATTAGGTTCAGTTAATAGGTCCTTACGTATGAAATTGGCGTTTTATACTAGAGGAATATAAAGTCAATTTTTTTTTTGTAAAATATATTTAATATTTCAAAGTATACACAGTTGTTATCTATGCACTTTTGCCATCTCATAGGTAGGTCCTTGATGCCTTTACTAAAAACAATGGGGGCGAGAATCAATAAACTCTTTGAAGGCGATTTGGACTGCCGCATCGGAGTTGAATTGTTTTCCTTGTAAGAAGTTGTCCAAATTCCGGAAAAAATGGTAATCTGTTGGAGCAAGGTCCGGGGAGTACGGTGGATGTCGCAGACATTCCAATTGTAGCTCATCTAACTTAGTAGTTGTTTGTTGTGCAGTGTGTGGTCTTGCGTTGTCGTGAAGCAGCGGTGGCCTAGAGCGATTGATCAATCTCGGTTGTTTGGAAGCCAGTTCTTCCTTCGTGGTTTGCAGTTGCTAACAATAGATATCTGCCGTAATCGTTTGGCCAGATTTTAGAAAGCTGTAGTGAACGACACCGGCGCTAGTCCAACAAACACTCACAAGTAACTTTTTCTGAGTCAATTTTCGTTAAGGGTAGGATTTGGCTGGGTCTTCAGGGTTTAGCCGTTGTGACGAGCACTTCCGATTACCGTACAGTATCTATCTCTATGATTCGATTTAAAATCCCTTCATTTTTGTTTTGGTTGAGCAAAATAACACAGCATTCGATGCGTGTTTGCAATTTCGATTCACTCAATTCATGAGGTACCCATCGTTAAAGTTTTTTTTACTTTCCCGATTTGCTTAAAGTGGATTAATACAGTTTTATAACTTACCCTGAAGCCTGCAGCTATCTCTGAAGTACTTTTTGATGGACCTGCTTGTACAATAGCCTTTAATTCTTCATTTTGCACTTTGGTCTCCGTCCGACCACGGGGTTGGTTCTGAAGGTTGAAATTTCCAGAACGAAAACGTTGAAAACAAAAACGTACCGTGCTTTCTTTTGCGACCAGCACCGTACACATCATTAATCCTTCGAGCTGTTTCCGCAGCACTGGTGCCACGGTAGAACTCGTACTCTGAAATAATACTAGTTTTTACGGAATTTATCGCGTATATTTTAACTTTTTAAATACCCGACGTTTCGAACGCTTTACAGCACTCATGGTCACGGGCAGGACTGAGATGTTCAACGTCCATATGTCATAGTTAACCGCGGTTACCATAGATTAAAATTTTTAACTTTTGTTCCGATCTATGCAGTATGAACTTATGGTATCTTGAAGTCTTGCAGTTGTATGCTTGGGTTGGGATTTAATTTTATTTTTATAGGATCCCAAGCAGATGGTAGCACCCAGCCATCTTCTCTATTGAAATTAGGATGTTTTTTGATTTCAATAGCCTCGCGAATCATCCTTGGAAGGAATCGGTGTTCTTTAGCGAGGATCTGCGGTCTATCAAATCTGATGTAGTGACGGGGGGCGATCTTGTACGTGTTCACAGACTGCAGACTTCCCGGAGCGTCGATTCTTCACATCAGCTATATGTTCTTTAACACGGGTTTTTATTGATCTTTTAGTTTGTCCTATGTAGGAGAGACCACATTCACAATCAAGCTTGTACACTCCTGCATCTTGCAGAGGGACATTACACTTGACCGATGGTAAAAACTGACCAATCTTCTTCAGCGGCTTGAAGTATGTTTTGATGGAAGCGCGCTTCAAGATGTAACCAATCTTGTCAGTGACTCCTCTAACATATGGCAGTACAGCAGGTACACGCTCGACTGTGGCCGGCTTCACTCGTTCACTGTGACGTAGGCGCGGGACTCGAAGCTTGTTGTCATGCAAAACTTGCTTGACATGGTGGAGCTCTGCAGCCAGGTGTTTACTGTCACAGATCCCTCGTGCTCTCTGAAACAAAGATTTACCCACGGTAGCTAACTGTGTAGGATGGTGGTGAGAATCACCGTTTAAATATCTATCTGTATGGGTCTTTTTTCTATACACAGTATGGCTCAAGGTGTTATCAGGATTCCGAATTACTAACACATCTAGAAAAGCTAAGGAATTGTTTGCCTCTAACTCCATTGTGAACTGAATTTTAGAATTTATAGAGTTAAGATGGTCTAAAAATGCAGTTACTTTATCTAAAGGTAGAATTGTGAAAGTGTCGTCTACGTACCGCTTGTAGAAACTTGGATTTATGGGAGAAGTAAGCAGGGCTTTCTCCTCAAAGTCTTCCATGAATATGTCGGCGACAATGGGAGATACAGGTGAGCCCATCGCCACACCATCTACTTGCTTGTAGAACTCCTCCTTCCACAATAGGTAGCCAGATGTAAGGCAGTGTCTGAGTAATACTACGTTGAACATCTCAGTCCTGCCCGTGACCATGAGTGCTGTAAAGCGTTCGAAACGTCGGGTATTTAAAAAGTTAAAATATACGCGATAAATTCCGTAAAAACTAGTATTATTTCAATGTTTAGTGTTCGCGTAAATATAAGAAATCATTATGAGAACTCGTACTCGTAAATATACTGATACACGTTTTCCATTGTGCGGTAATAAGCGATGCCAAAGAAAAAATTAATGAGGAAAAAACAAATGAATGACTGTTTTAAAAACTCAAATGTAAATACCAGCTAAATTAATTTTTAAATTTAAATTTGAAATTCTTAACCAACGAGTAGATATTTCCGATCAAAATGGTCAGCACTACAAAACGCTAATTTCATATGTAAGGACCAAATACATATTAATATTTCAGAGAAGAGGTATATTATTTAAAAAGTGCTAGATTGGGCGCTAAGCGCTATATTTTTTGTTGAGCGTTGACAGAGCCTAGAAAGCGATAAATCTAGCGCCGAAAGCGCTAGGTTGGCATCACTAGGGTTAATATTCGTTCGGCAATTAAGATAGACTTAGGTCTCAAACCCTACAGCCTTGTCTGATGTGTTTTTATTCACAAAATTCATTACAATAATATGCCAATGCATCATACTACAAAATTCTCGTGATATTTTAACAACAGCTTACCCAGCGGACAGTTGATAGCAGTGTGCTACCATTAAGATCTCACAAAACTCATAAGTATATTATTACCTCAGATAAACTAAACTATAAAAACTTATGTAATAAACTCATAAGTATGTTATTACAACAGTAACTAAAGCAGCATTTTTAGTTGTTGTTCTGAGGTTATTACTATTGATAGAGTATAATAAATGCCCTATACAGGAATTACCAGGAATTACTACCCAAAAACTTTATCAATGGGTGCGTTTGGCAGAAAAAAGCGCTAGCAAGCGCTTACAAGCGCTGAAATAGTTTTCGGCCAGGACACGATTGCTACTTCAGTACCGCTGACATAATCCGCCATTTTGCTTATTTAATTTGTTTGTTTTGAAGTAGAGTTTATAAGTTTTTTTGTGCAATATTAGTTTTAAGTAAAATAATGACATGAATAAACATATACATGTTATTAAAAATTCATGATTGGTAAGTTTTTAATATGAATACTTTACAAACATATATTTAAATTGGGTTAGGTTCCCCGGTTAAAACTAACTTCGTGTCCTAGAGGAAAATAGCTACTTACGATTTGACAGCGCTTACCGCTTACGATCGCCATTTTGTTTACAAGCGCTTGCTAGCGCTTTTTTCTGCCAAACGCACCCATTGTGGCGTAACAACATACCTTGCATTGGCATAGATTTCAAGCATAAATGTTGTTGTGGTGCTTTATTCTATTCTCGAAGTGTTGTGTTGGACCGTGTTGGACATATAATTGACAGCCATGGAGTATAGAGGTACCTCTACACTCCATATCCTGTCCTCCATATTGACAGCATTGACAAGTGATAAATGTAAAAAGTCTTGTCAACTTGTTATTCGACAGAGCCTTTTACTCAGCTGTTTGCTGTTTGCACAGTTTACTTAGCTCATAATGATTGCTTTCGAAATCAAGGTCTACTAGGTTTTCGCGCAGTATGGAGAATTGTAATACTCTAATAGTATTGATTATAAATTTGAGTTGTCGGACGCTAGTTTCAATTGGTCTGAATAAATTTTAAAATATCGGTGTAAAAGTTGTTAAAGAAACCTTTTTTTATAATAATGTCTTCAGTAGTGGAAGATATTTGTGAACTTTTGGACAGTTATAATGGAAGAGACAAGGTAAAGTGTACGGAAAAACAATAT